CTTCCGCAAAATAACTCCACAATTTGAACAAAGGCAACAAGATCATAGCCAAAAATAACATCAATATTACAGATTTAAACATGCGACCCCATTGAAGTTAAACTTTTCGGAGTGCAGAAGCAGACATCAGAATCAAGATTACAAAGATAACAACTGCGACGAAGGCTGAAACCACAGCCCCGCTGGATTGCTGGCAGAAATCACCAAATTGTTGGCAGATAGCAAGCCAATTTGCATCTGAATTGCCATTGTGAGACAAGTAAACTATGGCAGCCGCAGAAGCAGCACAAGAAGTGTTCAACGTAAGCGCCAGCTATCACATAAATCAACGAATTTCCATGTCAACATATATATATATATATATATATATATATATCTGAAGGAATGTCCAAACAAAAGTACGTACACTTAGGGTTAGGGACTAATGTGTAAGAAAATGAGGCAGCTTACAGTGTCAAAAATAAGCAAGAGAAGCCTTGGAGCAACTGCATGGGGACGAACAATGGTTACAATGGAGAAGGGCAGGGAGAGGACTAGGTAGGCGCCCACTATCCCCATTCCTATGACGAAAAACCTGCATTTACATATCCAAGTTTCAGAGTGTTTAATGTGTTCTATATTATAGTACATGCACAAATAGTGTAAGAAAGTTGGGGATACATAAGCATGAGTTAAATTGATCAAATTTGGATTTTATGAAACCACACGTTATTTTAGACCATATTGCTAACATAAGTGTTGTTCACAATGTGATACGTATATATAGTTTGCAAGGGAAAGATATTTAAGAGTGAGGGACGTACGTGAAAGTAGGCAAGTCGTCATAACTAGCCTGGAATTGGAAGAACTGTGTGAAGAAAGGAAGAGTTTGCTCGCTAGACCCCATGGCAATGGCAGCGCCTAGGGCAGCCGCGGTAGCGCCAAGCCTGAGAATGAAGTCCAAAATGGAAATGCCCTTTTTCCATCCTCCCTTTTGATCATGCATGGGATGAGCTGCTTGTATCCTCACATATGGCGTTTCTCCTTTAGCAACCGTCTTATTTCTTGACTCTGGAATGTTAATTGTGGTTGAATCACCGCTAGTGCTCTTCATTTTGGCTCAGAAAAGGGACTGTTTAAATTGGACTTAATGAAAGAGATATGGAGAAGCTTTTGTGATTGAACTGTTGATGGGTTGGGTTTTTATATATGGAGTGGCAAATGTGATTTCGTTTAGGAAGTCGAATTTAGAATTCTCAAGTAAGATATTTCTTTCCGTCTTGCTTTTCCTTTTAATAAAAAGGGAAGAGAAGTCGTTGATATCTTTTTCCACCAGTCCTATAATTAATCACAAAGTGGAAAGGTGCGACAGGTAGATGTTAGCATGAAGTGGTTGCATTATAGAATCATGTCAAAACTATATAAAATTAACAATTAATTAATGCATGCATTAATGTGTTTTTAATTTGTGATTCAGTTGACTAAACCACACCATTCTACCGTTTCTTTTCCCTCTCTATGATTTAGGTATGCAATAATACAACAAATGTTACATATATACACATAACATGTTAAATGATTCGAATTTGGGACATTTTCTAACACTGAAAGAGGTACCTAAGAGATTAATTAGGTAGTTGATTTTTATATTTGCGGTCAATGATTTAATACATTCATGCAATGACGGCCCCCAAATTCATGTTGGGATGGACGCTTTAGAATATATATATATATATATATATATATGTGTGTGTGTGTGTGTGTGAAAGAAATGCATACGTGGTCGTGGATTAGGTTAGCTGGTTAAGACAATGTTTTTCTCTTTATTCATCTGAGTTTGATCCCCCTCACGTACATTACATTAGTTTTATAATTAGGGTGGTGATTTTCCCACTCTTCTTTTGTTCATTTACACTCTCTTTTGTTTTTTTAATAGTTTTTACTATTACAAAAAATGGAGTGTAAGTGGATAAAAGGGGAGTGGGAGCATACAATTTCTAACAAAGGGAGTTTAAGTAGACAAAAAATGAGTGAGAAAATCAACTCCCTTTAGAATATCGTATTTTGAAAAGAAAAAAAAACTAAATAAATAAAATTACCAGAATGTAGAAAAATGAAACAATACTGTAATGAAACATAAAACGAAATATTTTTTTCTGTTAATAATTTGATATCATATATTTACAAATGAAGGGAGGAAGTAAGCCCAGGAAATAAATATAAAAAAGGATAGAGTTTTCAATTACTGAAGAAACTTGAATTCTAATCAAGCCAAGGCATGATGAATTCGAGTGTGGTAGTTACTCCATATAAATTCTTTTATTTGACTTGAATGAAATAATATATGTAGCTTTGAAGGAATCAGCCTATGATACTAACTTTGAGCTTTCTTTACCAAAGGGTCTTGACCTAACTTGACAGGAGTGAACACACTTTGGCAGCTTGGATATCGTGGAATGCAAATCTACCAAACCCTGGCTTATTATCTGTTTAGACAGACCAAGAATCTGGGTGAAATCCAAGCAAACCACCCTGACTGACATTGACTATTTTGATACTTGGAATAAAGTTCATTCCTATTATGTTTCAACTCATTGGGTCAATGAAGTTATCTCACTTTGATAAAAAAAAAACTAAAAAAAAAAACACTAAAAAACTAAAAAAAAAGCTAATTGGGTCAAAACTCATGAAAGGTATTCGGCGAACCTTAAAGAAATTTAAACCACGTCAGGTCCAATCAATTAATAATCTCATAAAACTACAATTGGCCGATGATGAATTCAAGCCCATTTTAGCAGTTTTATTTATTTTTTTTATAGCGTGTGAACTGTTAAGATGAACTTCTAGAAAAATATGGGTGATAAAGGAAAACTCTTAAGAAGATGATTTATCAGATGCGTGAGATTAAAATAAAAACCTGTTCTATATAAATACAATTGCGAAAAAATATTTGTGAAACTATGTAAGTCGCGCATGATTAAAAAAACTCTCTCGCACGCGCGGAACAAGGAGGCTAGTTAAAATTAAAAACAAAATAAAATAATAGCTCCTACTTTTATGGAATATAACTACCCACATTATTTTTTTTAAAAAAAAAAAAAAAAAAAAAAAAAAAAAAAAAAAACAAACAATTGGCACATGCGTGAGCATGTGCCAAGGGACTAGTGATACTAAATCAAAAGTAACCCTACTTTTTTGTATGGGTGATTCTTGAAGGACATACAAAATGTGTGAAATTTTTTTCTTGAAAATATGGATGTGCACGTATGAAATTATTTATAACTCTACTTTGCAACAAAATTCTAAAAATATAAAAATTGTAATTAATTAAAATGACAGTCAAGTGTAATACTAGAGTCCTAAGAACTGTTATTTGCATTGTTAAAATAAATAGTAAAAAAAAGACCAGAACAATTAATAAGAGTGATCGTAACATATATTTCTGATAAATCATCAATTCGATTTTGAGAACTCCATGTTATACCCTAACGAGGAAGCACTATTTTCAACTTCATCTTTGTCTTTATCTTGAGACACCCAAAAACCTTCGACATCATCTCTATAGAAATCAAAATGTAAAGCAATTACAGATCGATATATGTCATTTTTTTGGTAATGTGTACTACAATCCCGATTTCTTGGATTACAGGAGTTCAAGATATTGTAGTTACCCACCGTTAGATATTAATCCAATGATTCAAAAAAGTTTCTTAAAAAAAGTGCAAGAGTGAGTGAACCTGATAGATGAAGAGGAAGGGTCTAGAAGGGTGGTTTTGAAAAAATCATGGGCTTTTAATCTGCGGGCATGACTAGGTTTGCACAGATCTTATCCGGTTTTGGTTTCCACCAACCCCTTGAACACGTGTTTTATGTTAATTCATTAGAACAAATCTAGACGTTACCAAATGATTTTCTTCATCCTTATTTGTATTTTAACTACCAGTCTAGAAAAGAAACTCTCCTAAAAGGATTAGCATATCCTATGCATGTGGTCAGAGTCAATGTACGAAGGGAAGTAAGAAAGATATAGTTATGGGATGAAAAATAATGTGCCAACCATGGCAACATAAAAGGAAATGCCAAGAGAGAAAATCGTAAGCCATCAGATATTTAATCATGAAATTAGTATCCCATATTAAAATCATCAATTCTTCGTTTGGATGAGATGAGGAGAAGTAATTCGGAATTTAACTAAAAATCAGGAATTTAAGAAGAGAAATTGACAATTATCTCGTTTGGCAACTTAAGCACATAATTTATTAAATGAGGAAATACATAAATCCAACTATTAAAATCTTCAATTGCCAAAAATTGAAATGATGGAAATCTATTCCGTTATTTTAGAATTCTATGTAATTTTCAATTCCTTCATTCAAAGGGAAGAGAAAAGAAAAGTAATTGAAATTGACAATGCAATACAAATGTGATAAAGGCCGACTCCAAGACCATAACACATGTATATCCAACCAAGCCGACACTCTCGTCGTAAACACAGACATAGATATCAAGCATTAGAGTTTTATCCATGGCTTCAATTTCAATATATACATATACGTATATTTCTCTGCTCGTTCATCGAATCATCTTCGTGTTCGATAAAAACCAACCCACAGGTGATAAATCAATAATTAAAATTTAATGTATGATCCAATAATCCCCAAATGAAAATGAGATTTGTATTATTTTTATTATATGAAAAAAAAAACAGAAAAAAGAAGACAAATTAGGTGTAGGGGCACATGAGAAACCAGGTTACCCCCCCAGTCGTTGGAGCAGCAAGGTCTTGAATTGCCTGACACCATGGTCGCTGGAGCTGAGATCCAATTGGTGTATTATATCGTTCTTTATATGTTTTTTATTCTATGAATGAATTCTGTTTCTAAAAAAACAACATTTTCACGAACACATTGCATTCATTCAAACGGACAGTCATTAAGAATTAATTAACTAATCAACTCAAAATTTTGAGAAAAACAATTAATTAAGATATTAGTAATTGAATGCGATTGATTGATTTGTAGATGAGAGAGACGTGGACGCGAGGACGCTCTGTGTCGATCTTGTTCGCGACGCGGAGAATGGGAGCGATTGATGTGAGGGCTGAGGGGACGACCTCATTGTTGAAGACCTCCGTAGAGAAGGAGCACGACGATCAGAAAAGCCTTGATGATGCGGTAGAGGCGCAACCTCATTGTCCTCACCGGAATCCTAGATCGTCGGAGACGTTGATCTGAATATTTTCCCGGCGGCAATTAATCGGCACAGCGTTTGAAGCTCTGCGGTGTGTTGTCTTTCTCCGAGAATAGGTCATGAGGGAGCTGAAAGCGAGGGGCTTTGCTAAACTACGAAGGGTATATGTGACCTAAATAAAGGTAAGAAATCGAAGTATTTTGTGTAGCCTCTAGAATTTTCCACAAGTTCATAACTTTCATTACAAAAACAAAACCAACCACGAACTCCCTTCTGCCGCTGCATCCCGAAACCCTAAATTCCATTTTCCCTCAATTTCAAAAGCAAAGTCCCTATCATCTGATATCATGGCTGATTGGAATATATCTAATCATTCCTCAGCCGTTGTGCTCAACCCTAGTCGAGATGTTCAGTACCATGACCACGCCTTGCCGACGGCTTCACGCCAAGAGACGGTAGCCACGTTTTCCTGGGATCAATTCGATTTGCTAATATCAAAATTGGAGGAGCTTCGCAGCACCCCTTCCGCCGCCGCTGAGCTCACCCCTTGCCGAGATGTTCAGGACCATGCCTTTCTCCGGTCGAAATTATCGGAGATCCAGAAATCTCTGGTCGATTTGAAGAAATCAACAATGGAGGAGTTTCGCCTAATACGTTCCAGTAGTACTAGCCCCACTCCATCCGAAACGACGGTGATTGACGGCAGTCCCAACCACCCAAGGTCAGTGCATGGCTTAGTGGATTTCATTAATTTTTGTTTCTCAGTAAAATTGTTGATGTTCTTCAGTAGCATTGTTGTTTTATTTGTTTTATTTTTCCAAAATTTTCGATCAATTTTCTCTTTGTTTAGTTTCTCAAACGACAGTGATTGCTGCATCTTTAATTATTCAAAGATTTTGCTACCAACCATTCAGTTCACCTGTGTTACATGTTCTTAATAAATTTCAATTGGTATATAGATTTCACACGTGAGGGAGCTTAGGTACCCCCTTTAATATCAGATAACGTTGTTGGTGATTTTCCCTTAGATTTCCATGATTTCCATTGATGATTTATTTACTCTGTGAATTGAACTTTGTATGTAATCATCCTGTATCAATTATTCTACACTCCCATTCACAGTTTGTACGAAATTAGTGAAGTTTATTTATAGATACTGGCATTTTTACTGTTTTGTTTGTATTTATTCATACATATATGTATATATGTGCTCACTAAAGTAGATGATGTAGCTTTAACCTTGCTTCATTCATTAATTCTCTCTAGGTAGGTGGGTGTTTGAAAAGATTAATTTGACGTGTTCTATTTATCTCTTTTCTCTGTCCAGCTTGCCCATGGATCGGGACCAGTCATCAATGACTGTAAATCAAGGGGAAGATAGATCTGTGTTTCTAATTGTGTGTTTCACTAAGGGAAAATGCCGTCATGCCATATATGAAGTGAAATTCAAACACGGGGAAGAAGTTGATGATATGAGCGGAGGAGAGGTACCCGCACTACTTAAACCTACAGCTAAGATTAGTCGTATGGTTCAGAGTGCAAGAATTTTCAACCTGTCTCAAATATATTTACTTACACATGACGGTGATAGACCTCGCGATATGTCATTTGGAGGGTATGTATTTGATACGAAGGATCGGAAATTAGATTCATCAATACCTCCTACCTTAGAGCGTAAGCGGTTTGGAACAGTTGTGTCTGCATATGATGGACTCTATTATCTTGAAGCTACATCGTCTTTAATTACAGATCCAGATCCATCCTTTGAGAAGTACGATCCTGTTAAGAAGGCTTGGCAGCAACTGCCTTCTTTTCCATTTTCTGATGACCTTCCTATGGACGTAATGGGTTATGCTGTATGTTATGGAGTTATTTTGTATTCATTTTGGGACCTAAAAAAAGACTTCGGCCTTGCTGCTTTTCACGTGGGTAGAGGAGATTGGAATCGAGTGAAAGTTGACTCTTCTACTTATGCTCCTTTTCGAGGGAGGGCCGTAGTTTTAGGCGAGTATATCTATGCCTTACATGCGTTTGAGAAGGACGAGATTATAGGATTCTCCTTGAGGATGGACAAAGTTGAGGATGGCGGTGTTGCATACTCACTAAGCAATGTGTTGACATTGCGCGGCCTGGAGATTGCAAATCCGCCATTGCCGTTTTATGAGTACAAGTCAGACTATTTGATTCATTTGGGGAATCAGGACTTATTACATGTTAAGACTGGCAGTATAGAAGAACATCGCGATGTTCAACACCTTTGTATCACCACGTTTCAAATTGTTGTTAGAGAAGTAGGATGGCATATGATCAAGACCTTACATTCAAGTGTTCTTCGTGCGGATATCGAGGGCCGTGATTGGTTCTTCATTAATTTCGGCTTCACTCCGTAAGCTTTCTTCACATTCAGTGTTATTAATTTGTGCGATGGATTCTGTTACATTTTGTATGTGTCAAAACGCTTAGAAATATGATTTTATGATGATTATGACCCTCAGGGAGTGTGGGGATTATGAACCCACAGAAAGGGATTATGAACGCGTAGAAAGGCATAGTGCAGCTAGCGTGAACCCACCAAAACAAGAAGATGACACTCTGCATGAATAGGAAACCAAACCAACTCTAGATGAGAATTTGTTGATGCGGGAGTTGACGCATAGTGAGCTTCATACTCGCCAGTTGGCAAAGGTGAAAAATGTGTTTACATGAAATCTTTTTATTTATTTAATGACCAGGAATTAGGAGAATTGTTTGCATGTCTCAAAGTGTTTTTTGTAGCCCTTGAGTTTAGTTTATCATAATCGAATTGGGTTTTGCAGAAAGAAGCCAACAAGAGAAAAGCCTCCATGAAGCAGGAAAAAACTGCCAGGAAGAAGGGATTGGCTTCCTTTATACAAGAAATATCCCCCATGCAGCATGGAAAAGGCAAACAGAAGAAAACCCAAGAAGGACCACAAACCGAAAACTTGGCGGAAGGACGGTTTTTAAGAATCAAGCTAAATTTTTGAAGGTTGTGTTTTTTGGGGTTTAGTAGAGAGCTTTTGGATATTGTGGAGTGCCTCCTCGACACAAACAAAGCAGAACTATGAATGGATTCCTACGAAATGAACCCGTGTTACATATCTACTGTGCGTGAAAATGTATCCAATCTTTTAAAGTAAGATATCAATTCTGCCTTAATTGACATAAAACTTTGATGGGTTGTCTAAAATGAACCCTAAATTAATGCTTCTATTCACGTTAACATTTTCCATCAATGGAACAATATTGCTTTTGACATTCTGGATTGGACTATTTTCAGATTTTTCAAGATACACCAATTTGGTAATGGTTATTATTAGAACAATCATGGAATGCAATTGATACGATAACACTTGGAGAGAGAGCTCGCTTTCTTTCACATCCTCTTGTACTGTTGCCTTCTTTCTCAGGTTTTTTGAAGTAGGGTTTTTTCTCATGATTTGTTTTAAAAAATTACTAAAGGACGATGACACAAATTATTAGAGTTAATACAAAGGTTTTTAGAAGTAGGGTTTTACACGTACGTTTGATTAGGGTTGAATGTGGTGAGTAGAGTGTACTTATTAAAATTTTTGTTTCACAATTCAATATATCTTTTTTTTGTAAAAGGCTACAAATTCAACAAGCTACAATTATGCATCATTGTTTGGAGACCTTTTGTGGTTTATCTGGGCAACAAGTCAACTTTGACAAATCTAGGATCTTCTGCTCCCCTAATACAAACCATGGTACCGCTACCCAAATTGCTTCCATATGTGGTTCTTCTCTTACTGATTCTTTGGGAAATTATCTTGGTGTCCCTCTTATTCACTCGAGTGAAGAATGATACTTATAGCCATGTTGTCGCCAAAGTCCAACAGCGCCTTGCCTCCTGGAAAAGTCATACGCTATCTATGGCTGGCAGGTTAGTGTATTTACAAGCCATTTCCTCTGCCATCCCTATATATTCTATGCAAACGGTCCAATTTCCTATTAGCATTTGTGATAAGCTGGACAAGATGAATCGAGACTTTCTTTGGGGTCACAATGAGACATCAACTAAGGTTCATCTTGTCAAATGGGGTTCTGTTTGTAAACCCAAGTTCATGGGTAGTCTTGGTCTTAAACAAACCCATTTGATGAACGAAGTGTTGCTTGCTAAATCTAGATGAAGCTTTTACAGAGAGACCAAGGCCTCTGGAGTCATATTCTGAATTGAAAATACCTCAAGAATCAAAGTACTTTGAACTTTAATAAGTCTGCTCATATTAATTATTCTAATACTTGGAGAGGAATTTTATTTGGTGCTCAGATTCTTCCTGGAGGTTTAAAGTGGAGGGTTGGCAATGGTGATGACATCTTGTTTTGGAAGGATAACTAAGCAGGTTGTGGCTTGGTTGAGGAATTTTTCTCTATTCCTCTTTCTGAAGACATGTTGTTGTGGACAATGGCATCAACTTCTGCAACATTGTTTTCTTAATAGAAGACCTGGGGTTCTGAACTTTGGCAGGCTACCGCTAACTTGAATTGAAGGGGAGAAAACTCTCTACTGTAGTTTGAATGATAGCTGAAACAGCTTATGTATACTATATCTGGCTATGGAGAAGCGCTAGATGATTCACCAAAATTTTCAAGTCTGAGGATGATCAGACTCAACTACTCACATGAAGATCCTTCCTCATAGCAATTTCAAAGAAAAAGACGAAACAACAGAGCATGTTTTAACGCTTAAGCGGCAACTTCCTGTTCAATTTTTTATTTCATAGGTATGTGTTTTTTTGTGGGCTGGTACAGCTTTTGTTCTGTTTGGTGTATAATTTCAAACACTGGGAAAGAAACCATAAAGAACATGGGAACGGTATGTTGCAATGTAACCATTATACTGTTACGTGCCTCAATAGATTCTCATGCCAAGCTGTGGCATGATCGTTGGGGAAAACGTGAACAATAGGCTAAGAGATCTGTGAGCCAAATTTATGATAAAAGAGAGAAGCACCAGTCTACAGCATAAAGAGTGAAGGTTCGTTAGTCATCCAATAAAAATTAACCAGCCATGTCCTATAATAAAATCTGTCTCCGCATGTGTAGGACTAGATTTGTCTAAATTTGTATTACACTGGTCACCTTCCCTGATAGAACTTATTACTGATGGTCCAAGTAACATGCATTGCTCCTACTGCTTGGCTGTCGTTAAGTTTTACCAGTTATTTTATTGAGAACATAATTCCACAATACATTCCTCACTGTGCTACTTTATATTAACTCATTGCAACATGTTAAGCTGACAAACAAAGCCCCCAAGTCATAGACCTTACAGACAGGAAACATATCTCACAAGGAACAAAGACGTTAAGTAACTTTTACTTGATATTTTAGCCCTACATCTTTTATATGAGACACCAAAGGGCACACTTAATAATCTTTACATAATTGAAATGGAGCAAAAGTATTTATATAATGAGAATTAGTGGAAACTGCAACTGAAATAGTACGAAAACAATTAATTTCCCTATAACTTTCAGTTCTATTACTTCAAACTGACAATATTGTCATACGTTGGGACTACTCAATCTAAAAAGGTTAAAAAGCAGTTGCAAAAATGAAGACCTTGAACTAGCTCATATATTGGCTTGGGTTAAAATACTTAACAACAGGGTTAAAGCTTGGGTTGAAATACTTCTCATTAATAAGCCCGAGAGCCTAACAAATTGACCTGAGCTCAAACAGGTCCTAAATCCGGCTCAACCCATCTGATAGCCCTAACTCTCAATCTCAAGAGCGGCCAATTAGAACATTTGTCTAAGAACCACCAACTTGTGAAGTAAGAACTTTAACTGAGACAACAAGAAGCAGGGCAGCAAAACCTTCCCAACATGTATGTGAATCTATATAAATAGTTCCCCGAAGAAAAAGGATGCAAAGGGCTCCAGCAAAGGAGAGTGACAACTCTAAATCCGTTTTCTCCAATAGCCTTATCGATTGCAAGAGTTTTTTTGTTTCCCTCAACCACTTTACGAATGCGGTCATGAGCAAAATATCTAGCAATGAGAAACACAACGCTACCAGCCACCTGAAATGGGTAAATAATGTCAGGAAAAACAAATTAAGTACACGTTTTAAGGCAGGCGCTCTTACCTAAATAATGTCAGGAGATAATCTAGAAAAGCAAAGCATTTTGGATATATATGGATAAACTTGCAATCTACACAGTTACACCTGATTTGAAATTGGCAAAAGGCACCATTTGTTTTTGCAACTGCTGCAGCACTCGAACACAATATGGCATCAACTTGTGCAACATTGTTTTCTTAATAGAAGAGTTGGGGATTGGGCTTATGAACATTGGCAGGCTACCGCTAACTTGAATTGAAGAGCCTGTAACAATATCACGATGACAACTGGTCTCCAAGAGGAGCCTGTAACAGTCGGCAATATCTCCTCCAAGATCTGAATAAGCTTAACTAATGCAGTGGCCACTTCAATTTTTAATGTAAACTCAGTTTTGATGTTGAGGCAGTGCAATTGAAATAAAAACTTAGTAACCCCATTATCATCAAGGCCATTGCTTCTGCACAAGGAAGAAAGGACGCTAAGAAGCGTGGCATCATCAAATCCATTTCCGTCAAGGTGCATTTATATAAATAGATGACGAGGGGGTTTGTCTTTTTTTGTTGTTGGTGAAAGCTTTTTTTCTTTTTTTATAGGGCAGGTTAGTGCGCTTTGTCAGCACACCAGCAGTTATGGAGAGGTTTGTCAGTATTGAAAGGGAGATTTTGCAGATTGAGAGTTCAGTTCAACTGGAGGAAGGTATCTCAGTTTTCCTCATGGCTTATGCGTGAAAAATCCTTCTTTTTGGTGGTGTATTATATGTTGAAAGTATTGGTTTTGTTAGGTCTGCTCTGTTTGGTTGCTGAGAAAATGGTGTGCCTATCATTGCTGATGGTGGAATTTCCAATCTAGACACATTGTCAAGGATTTGGTCCTTTGACATATCTTTTATTGCCAGAGCAGATATGCTGCTCACACCAAAAAATAAAACTTTACTTTCACACTTCTACCCTGTATGAGTCCGTCTTGAATATGTTTTTTGTATTTCATTGAACCATTGATGATTTTTTGCGAGTTGAAGGAGTTTATTACTCAGGTTTACAACGAATGTGTAAAGAAATTTAGCATGAAGATATGTGTTTCTACATTTGTCACAAATCCTGACTTATTTCTCATCCTTTTTGGACTGCATCAGTTATAATTGTCTAAAAAAAGGGTTAGGGTCACTTCTGTATGTATGCATATATCTGTTTAACTCCCTAAGTGCATTCCAGTCAATGAATTCAGGGTTTTGATCAGCTTATCTTAGATATTCTGGAAATTACTCATGAAGGAAATGCCACTGTCAGAGAATCCAAACTTCAACAACTGATGACTAAGTTTGAAAATATGAAGATGCTTGAAACTGAAAAATTTGCTGAGTTTTATCCTAGATTGAGTGTGGTGGTGAATGCTTGCAGCAACCTTGGTGATGCAATTCCTGAACACAGAATAGTGAAAAAGATTTCCAGTGGCCTGTGTGTTTGCCTTGGTGATACAATTGATGATACAATTGTATAATTTCCATTGATGATACAATTGTATAATTTCCATTAATTTTAAAATCATACCATTATCCAATGATAAAACAACTTAGCCATTTTAAGCAAATAGAAACTGCAATGCATTTGTGTACAAAGTGGCAGTGTTGCACTTGTCTAGAAAAGTGTGTATAATAAGCCTGTTTCTATGCTTGTATCAGTGAAAGAACCAAGGGTACAAAGAGAGATTTCATATGTATATTTATAATAAGAAAATACGTTTTTTTTATAGTTGTGAAACATGCTTATATATCCACTCAGTTGTTTGAATTTTTGGCAAAGAAAAAGAAAGGAGAGAAAAACATTTTATTACAAGATCTGTTCATGGATGTTACATTTGACATAGTTTCAGTTTTCCGTTTCCCTCAGTCACCTCTTCTCCGTCTCTCTCTCTGTCTGCTTCTCTTCTCTCAGACGCAGCAGACCACGCCTCCGCTCCTTGCCGTCGACAACGACAATCACGCAGCGCACACCTCAAGTAAGTCATGATCTTCCGCTTCTCTCTCTGTTTGCTTGCTATTTTGGATGTATTCGTAATCTTGCTATCTGAGCACAAATTTGGGGGACTATTTTCCTGTGATTATGATTAGGAATATTGATTTCCAGTGCCTTGTGCTTGGCTTCTAGGGGTACGAACGATTCTTTGCTTGAAAACCCAATTTTGCTGCTTTCACATGCAACAGACAGAATCTATGGCTTTTTTGTTAGCACTTTTAGATTTGCGTTAGTGCTCCTTGCCTAGCTAATTACAAGCTTAATTGGTCATTAAAATATTTAATTAATCCACATTAAGTACAATGAGCTTACAGATGTTTTCTTTGTTTTGTGCAGATTTCAAATTTCAATCAAATTTGTGTCGCAGCAGCCGCCTCTAGAATTTTCCACCAGTAAATAAACCACAAACTCTGTCCAAAAACAAACCAACCACAAACTCCCTTCTGCCGCTGCATCCTGAAACCCTAAATTCCCATTTTCCCTCAATTTCAATAGCAAAGGCCCTATCATCTGATATCATGGCTGATTGGAACATATCTAATCATTCCGCAGCCGTTGTGCTCAACCCTAGTCGAGATGTTCGGTATCATGACCATGCCTTGCCGACGGCTTCACGCCAAGAGACGATAGCCACGTTTTCCTGGGATCAATTGGATTTGCTAATATCAAAATTGGAGGAGCTTGGCAGCACCCCTTCCGCCGCCGCTGAGCTCACCCCATGCCGAGATGTTCAGGACCATGCCTTTCTCTCGTCGAAGTTATCGGAGATCCAGAAATCTCTGGTCGATTGGAAGAAATCAACAATGGAGGAGTTTCGCCTAATACGCTCCAGTAGTACTAGCCCCACTCCATCCGAAACGGCGGTGATTGACGGCAGTCCCAACCACCCAAGGTCAGTGCATTGTTGTTTTATTTTTCCAAAATTTTCAATCAATTTTCTCTTTGTTTAGTTTCTCAAAGAAGTTGCTTAAGTTTTCTCTCATTGCTGCATCTTTAATTATTCAAAGATTTTGCTACCAACCATTCAGTTCACCTGTGTTGCATATTCTTAATAAATTTCAATTGGTTTATAGATTTCACCCGTGAGGGAGCTGATGTACCCCCCTTTAATATCAGATAACGTTGTTGGTGATTTTCCCTTAGATTTCCATGATTTCCATTGATGATTTATTTATTCTGTGAATTTAACTTTGTATGTAATTATCCTGTATCAATGACTCTACACGCCCATTCGCAGTTTGTAGGAAAGTTTATTTATATATACGGGCATTTTTACTGTTTTGTTTGTATTTATTCATATGTATATGTATATATGTGCTCACTAAAGTAGATGATGTAGCTTTAACCTTGCTTCTTTCATTAATTCTCTCTAGGTAGGTGGGTGTTTGAAAAGATTAATTTGACGTTATTTATCTCTTTTCTCTGTCCAGCTTACCCATGGATCGGGACCATGCATCCTTGACTGTAAATCAAGGGGAAGATAGATCTGTGTTTCTAATTGTGTCTTTCAGTAAGGGCGAATGCTGTCATGCCATATATGAAGTGAAATTCAAACACGGGGGAGAAGTTGATGATATGGGCGGAGGAGAGGTACCCGCACTACTTGAACCCACAGCCAAGATCAGTCGTATAGTTCAGAGTGCAAGAATTTTCGACCTGTCTCAAATATATTTATTTACACAGGATGGTGACGATAGACCTCGTGATATGTCATTTGGAGGGTATGTATTTGATACGAAGGATCGGAAATTATATTCATCAATACCTCCTACCTTAGAGTGTAAGCGGTCCGGAACAGTTGTGTCCGCATATGATGGACTCTATTATCTTGAAGATACATCGTCTTTCATTAAAGATCCAGATCCATCCTTTGAGAAGTACGATCCTGTTAAGAAGGCTTGGCAGCAACTGTCTACTTTTCCATTTTCTGATGACCTTCCTATGGACGTAATGGGTTATGCTGTATGTTATGGAATTATTTTGTATTCATTTTGGGACCTAAAAAAAGACTTCGGCCTTGCGGCTTTTCACGTGGGTAGAGGGGATTGGAATCGAGTGAAAGTTGACTCTTATGCTTATGCTCCTTTCCGAGGGAGGGCTGTAGTTGTAGGCGAGTATATCTATGCCTTACATGTGTTTGAGAAGGACGAGATTATAGGATTCTCCTTGAGGATGGACAAAGATGAGGATGGCGGTGTTGCATATTCACTAAGCAACGTGTTGAGATTGCGTGGCCTAGAGATTGCAAATCTGCCATTGCCGTTTTATGAGTACAAGTCAGACTATTTGATTCATTTGGGGAACCAGGACTTATTACATGTTAAGACTGGCAGTATTGAAGAACATCGCGATGTTCAACATCTTTGTATCACCACGTTTCAAATTGTTGTTAGAGAAGTAGGATGGCATATGATCAAGACCTTACATTCAAGTGTTCTTCGTGCGGATATTGAGGGCCGTGATTGGTTCTTCATTAATTTCGGCTTCACTCCGTAAGCTTTCTTCACATTTAGTGTTTTCATCAGCAACATTAATTTGTGCATTGGATTCTGTTACATTTTGTATATGTCAAAACTTATAGAAATATGATTTTATGATGATTATGACCCTCAGTGACTGCGGGGATTATGAACCCACGGAAAGGGATTATGAACGCGTAGAAAGGCGTATGCAGCTAGCGTGAACCCACCAAAACATGAAGATGACACTCTGCATGAACAGGAGACCAAACCAACTCTAGATGAGAATTTGTTGATGTGGGAGTTGACACATAGTGAGGTTCATACTCGCCAGTTGGCAAAGGTGAAAAAAATGTGTTTACATGAAATTCTTTTATTTATTTAATGACTAGGAATCAAGAGACTCAATTGTTTGCATGTCTCAAGTGTTTTTAGTAGCCCTTGAGTTTAGTTTATCGTAATCGAATTGGGTTTTGCAGAAAGAAGCCAAGCAGAGAAAAGCCTCCATGAAGCCGGGGAAAACTGCCAGGAAGAAGGAATTGGCTTCCTTTATACAAGGAATAGCCCCCATGCAGCATGGAAAAGGCAAACAGAAGAAACCCAAGAAGGACCACAAACCGAAAACATGGCGGAGGGACGGTTTTTAAGAATCAAACCGTTGGTTATTTACTGTATTAAGAAGTATTCCTTCCGTTTGCACCTTTGGTTTTCTTTTGGTCTCATGGTCGCAACCTTGGCTTTTGTTTATACCCTGCATTTGTTACTTTTTGTGATGTTGTTAGGATTGTTGATTTTTGTAACTGTGGTTTGTCCATAATGACTTATAAGGATGCAAGAATACAAATTCGAAATCAATGGTCCTTGGGATGAGGCTAAACTTTGTGTTGATATAACTGATTGAGATTTTCGTGCCCTTTTGAGAATTTGTGGTTATCTCCCGCTTCTCTTTCATCTGCATGGCAATTTGCTTTCTGCCATTTCTTTGTGGATGGATTTCATAGTATTCCATTGTCTTTGCTTTCAAGGAAGTTGGGATATGTTAGGTTGCTGTTATTAGGGAAATACAAGCCATTACCCTCGTGTGATAATCATAAGCACGCCTTGTCTGTTGTTGGCGGCATGGGATAACAGAGGTGGCTATTCAACATTATCTACAAGTTCTGGAGGGACATTACAATGGTGCGAAAGTTCCAAGGTTAATTTGATATAACCCCTTGTGTTCATAGTTCATGGGGTATTCAGCAACTTTGGACCATCTGTCTACTAATCTATGTGAAGATACAAGCTGTGTGATTCAGAGAACTGAATTTGAGTTGGCTAATTCCAGCTAGATGCTATTCTCACTTGTGTGAAGGGCTTAAGGTGGATAATTTTGGTTGAGTAGCAGAAGAGGATTTTGACAATTATAGTAAGGTGGAGGTGGAGCTGCTATGGGATAGAGTTACATTTTGACGTAATTAATGTGTGCACAATGAGTAGCACACAGATTGTTTTTTTATTTATTTATGAGAAACAAGAATAGTTTTATTAAACAATAAGGATAGTGTACAATCGCAGTGGGCAAGTAGTCCATCAAAGATATACATCCAAAACAACAAAAACCATCAGACTTTCACAAAAAGAACCCTATCGGATAATAGACTATTGGGAGGTTTAGTTTTAAAACACAATATAGTTTACTAATTTGGAAGATAGGAATACAATTTCATCTAATTAGCATAAGGCCAAAGACCAAAAGTTAGTACCTAATTCTACAAAAATATCATTAAAAAAAATATCAAAATTACACACAATGCCACTCCTTCTAAGGCAAGCATACTATGCCACATGTCCATATCTAGCCAACCACCACTGCCGGCCACCTGCCGTCGGAATCCCGCCGCCGGCCACCACAGCCGAAATCCCGCCGCCGGACTCCTGCCGACAGCCACCTGCCACCACCACTGTTGGCCGCCATAGCCCGTCGCCGGCCTGCCACCGTCTGCAGGGAACCAACTCCGTTGCCCTTTATTTACCTTTAACAATAAAAGATTTTGTATCATTGAATGGACTCGAACCTTGACCTTCAAAGGAGGAAGGTTCACTCACAAACCACTACACTAAACTTTATTTTGTAGTATTTATTCAGTTATACAATATTTATATAAACAATCAACGGTTTTAAAAATAAAAAAAAATCATTTCAACACTTATTCACACAAAAACTACAAATAAAAATAGAAACTGCAACAAAAATACAATGTAGATATCAATTATGTTAAAAAAATGAAAACAGCTACAAAAACAATTGTAATTAAATGAAAACTGCAATGCAGTTTCCAGTTTCCAAAAGTCGAATTTTGAGTTCCCTTGCTCTTGGGTAGTTCTACTCTTCTCTTGCCCACCCAATTCCTCATTTGGGTAGCCTCTACTCTTCAAATTGGTGAGGTTGAAGGCCAAGGAAAGAACAAAAATCAAATTGTAATTAAATGAAAACTGCAATGCAGTTTCCAGTTTCCAAAAGTCGAATTTTGAGTTCCCTTGCTCTTGGGTAGTTCTACTCTTCTCTTGCCCACCCAATTCCTCATTTGGGTAGCCTCTACTCTTCAAATTGGTGAGGTTGAAGGCCAAGGAAAGAACAAAAATCAAATTGTAATTAAATGAAAACTGCAATGCAGTTTCCAGTTTCCAAAAGTCCAATTTTGAGTTTCCTTGCTCTTGGGTAGTTCTACTCTTCTCTTGCCCACCCAATTCCTTATATGGGTAGCCTCTACTCTTCAAATTGGTGAGTTGAAGGCCAAGCGAAGAACAAAAATCAAATTATAATTAATGAAAACTGCAATGCAGATTCTAGTTTCCAAAAGTCCAATTTTGTGTTCCCTTGCTCTTGGGTAGTTCTACTCTTCTCTTGCCCACCCAATTCCTCATCTGGGTAGCCTATACTCTTCAAATTGGTGAGGTTGAAGGCCGAGGAAAGAACAAAAATCAAATTGTAATTAAATGAAAACTGCAATGCAGTTTCCAAAAGTCCAATTTTGAGTTCCCTTTCTCTTGGGTAGTTCTACTCTTCTCTTGCCCACCCAATTCCTCATCTGGGTAGCCTCAACTCTTCAAATTGGTGAGGTTGAAGGCCAAGGAAAGAGCAAAAATCCAATTGTAATTACCAAAACTGCAATGCAGAACCTGTATAAAATTTCACCTACTGAAAAATAAAGAAATATAATGCTGCAAGCAGAAACGAAAGATAGAGACATGGAGAAAAATAAATAAATTTAACCCACAAGATCATACCCCCATACCAAATATTACAGACAAATACAATCAATCATACCCAAATCGAATATAAATCCAAATATTATGTACAAAATCATGTAGGATCATCTTCCACCAAATTTTTTTGTTCTTATTGTCAAGCATCGTTCTCTTAATCAATATCAATGCATAGTTGATGGACCTGTCTTTCTCAATATGGAAATTGACAAATAATGACAAATTTCAAAATATTGGATTATGATAGTGAAGATTGATGAAGACAAGATGAGAAACAGAGAAATGGGTTATTCATTTTACAAATTGGTAAATTCTGTCCAAGAACGAAACCAAGAGTTAAGAATCTCAAAATTTTCCAGTAAATTCTGATATATATTCTGTTGGCGAGTCCTTACTTAGTTAGGATTTTGGTTACTTGCCCATTTATCTAGTCCTATTATAATTGAGATTTATTTCCTATTATAATTTATATTTATTTTCTATTGCAATTTGGATTTATTTTCTATTTTATTTAGGGTTGTACTTCTCTATAAATACCTCCATATTGGAGAAGAATAATAATATGAGCGTATCTTAGCATAACTGAATATTTGCCCTACTTTGTTTGACATGGTATAAGAGCCTAGGTTTTCTTGTGACTTGTGTTTGCGGTCTCCTTGAGAGTCGTTGCTAATCCTTGAGATCCTTTGACAAATTGAGAGTCGTTGGCGTTCCTCATTCCTAACCCATCATGGGTCTTCACCTTGCTGTAAATCCCCGTTTCTCCTTTCCTTCATAATCAACATATATTTCTTCTGCCTTAGCCATAGCCGCACCTTTCTGCAATTTTACCCTTGTCTCTGTCCTTACCGTGTTTATGTTGAGTCATTACCTTTCTTTTTCTCTACCTATGCATGTTGCTGCCTTTTTTCTCTTACTCTTCATCTCTCTATGAGCTTGCTCTCAGTTAAAATCAGATTGAGCTAGGGGCGGAGCCACACTGGGACTAGTGTGGTCCCGGGCCCCCACTCAAGTTTTTTTATATTTTAAAAGTAAGCATTGTTATGTATTCGTATATGTATATTATTTCAAATACTTTACGGTTTGATATATACCCACATGTGTTGTGGCGGACTTATTAAGGCACAATGAGGTAGTTCAAGTTGCGCACTTACTTAGCTGGTGGTGGTGCACTCCAGGTGTACATATTACCTTATTCTCATTTTCAACATTTAAGTAAATGTCTTTGTCCTTTGACTTTAATTTATTTTTATATTACTCCATTTACTTAAGTTTACAATGTAAATAAAGAAGTACCCCCTATTTGGATTCAAATAAAAATACTAGAAAATCAAATTCCCACCAAATCAAAATATGAAAAATCGGTTTTAGTGTAAAATGCGATTCAGGCTAAAAATGATAGCTCATTAAGTCAATATATACTTCATACTAAAATCCCATAAAATCAAGTTTTCTTATTTGATGTGTAAGGAATAAAAGCCGCCAAAAATTATCTTGAGAAAATGATTATTCCGAAAAATCATTTTTCATACTTAGTCAATATTTTTTCATATATGATATGAATGCATGAAGGGGCCTAAGGTTGTTTTTAATTTGGGAAATTTTGATTTTTTTTTCTTCTTTCTATTGGGTTTAATGGGGGAAAAAGCTTTAAAGATATTTGCTAAATGGCTACTCTTTGTCTATCTCTTGCAATTTTTCTTGCTTAGAATGTATTTATCTATCCCTTTGTCAAGAACAATTATGATTGCAACCAATAAGTAATATAATTCTTGACATATGTGATATATATACACTATTTTTTGTATGTATTGTGAGTTCGAATATTTGATTTTTTATAATTTGTAAGAGGCCCCCACACACATGAAATCCTAGCTTCGCCACTGGATTGAGCCCATGTTAGTTTCAGTCTCTTGCGCTCACAGCCGAGCCTCTCTTTTAAATGTATACCATATGGGCAACACGCCCTTGGCCATTGATGGCCTGATCTCTTTCCTCCGTGAGCCTTGTCACCGCTCACCGAACCATCTCAAACCTTCGCGAGCCTCATCACCGCTCGCCGAGCCTTCTCTTAGCTGGCCTTTGTCTCTTTCTGTCCTGCCAAGCTACATTGCCGATGTTCCCTTTGCACAACCGCTCTACTCCTCTCTCTCTGTGCACGCCTATATGGCCTTTTTTTTTCCCCATTTGATAATGTGTTTCACTTCTTACCTAGAAACATCTATGTTTTCTTACTCTCTATTTATTTGGGTGTTACTTTCTCCAAATCTCGACTTTTATACATCGTTGGATTTGAGGGGGAGTGACACTGCTACTCAACTATTCCGCTGCAATTCAGCTACCTATCTGCCATGGCTGATTCTTCTACATCTGAGCGTCAGTCCGCTTCTGTTTCTTAAGTGCCACTTTTCTTATGGTTCCGACGACCTCTTCTCTTCAGGGGGAGAGAGCGATTAGCAAGAATATGTTAGGAAGTTTTTATAAGAAGCGATTAGCAAGAATATAATAACATATAGTTCTCAGATAATTAAGTTCTACCATCTCAAGGTGGCAACCGGATCCTCTGCTCTGATTTTCTCTGCCATGATCTGCTTTACTTTTGTTTTCCACACGCCACCTCATTAAAATTTAATCTAACGGATTTAAAAGTTGACACATCATCTTTAAAACAAAAACCAATTTACTACTAATTAAAAAACAAACAAAAATACCCTAACCCAACTAACGACCTCTGCAAGCTTTCATTCCCCAAAACCTCTGTAATTTCTTCTCTTTCCTTTCTACAAGATTAAAAATAAATAAAAAAATCTTCCCATATCCATTGTTTGAAGATGGTGGTTCCAAGAAAAAAGTATTCCCTTGTTGTTTTCCTAGATAAAAGAGAAATCATGTTTCAATATCTAGATTCCGGGTTTGTTTGTTGACATGCTTTTCTCTTATTTTTTGTCCCAGCTACATGCTCATATTTATTGGTCCCTTCTACATGCTCCTATGTTTTTTTGGTTTTCTTCCTATCTCCAACAATTCAAAACTTACACTTTCTCACCGAAACTAGTTGGGTTTTTGTCTGGCTTTGAATTGGATTTCAATGTTTTGGTATCATCAAGAGAAACAAAGCCAAAAAAAAGTCTAAAAGATCAAATCCAACAGGGCGTAGGGAGCACAATAAAGAAAAAAAGACTCAGTATTACAGCAAACAAACCAACAAAAGAAGTAAAAAAAGTTGTCTTTAATCAAACCAATACAAAATAAGAAAATTGTATTTTCTCCCATAAAAAAAAATTGTGCAATTGGGTGGAAAAGCTGCAGAGAAAGAAAGAGGAGAAAAACAGTTGAAAAGGAGGGACGTTGAAGAGAAGGGAGATAGAAAAAAAAATTGCAAGAGTAAAGTTTCTTGATAGTTCAATTAGGGTTTTTGTTTTGTTTTTAAATTAGTAGTAAATTGGTTTTTGTTTTAAAGATGATGTGTCAACTTTTAAATCCGTTAGATTAAATTTTAATGAGGTGGCGTGTGGAGAACAAAAATAAAGCAGATCATGGCAGAGAAAATCAAAGCAGAGGATCCGAATCCCTCAAGGTGTTATCCACTAGATTTAACCATCCAGAGTGATATGTAGTTTTATCAGCAGCAGTTAGTTCAATGCAGTCGTCATAAGAGAAAATCTTCCCAAGGAATTGATGTTGGCCTCCAGCCAAAAAAAATAAATAAAAAATAATATAAACATGAAACGAACAATTGAACAGCTAATTTTCATCAAAAGAATTACAAAATATAATGTGCACGCACATTGGAATATTCTTTTGGGTTTCCTTTCTGTTTCTTTTTCATTTTTCAAATTTTGCAAACAAAGAAAAGAAAGGCTGTCAGTAATAAAAGAGAACAGAATAAGAGCCACTTTACCCATCTTGTAAATAGCATAAAAAGATATTGGATACTTCAGTAAGTGCAGCTCTCCATTTTTGCACATTCTGTTTATTGGCTTCTTTTACATGCTTAGAGAAGCCTTTCCCAAAATCCCTGTTAGATAAGCTTTTCCCAAAACCCTGTTCTGTTTTCGTACCGCTGATGGATCCACATGATAGAAAACTAGTAGCATTGTTTGTCCCAGCATGTTCATGCACTCAATAGCTTTAGCAAGCTCATCAAAGCACCATGATGAATCGGCATAGTTTCTTCAAAGGATGACAATCACATATCTTGATTCTTCGATTGATTTCAAAGTCAGACCAGTCAGCGATCAATTGATGGAGGTAACTCCTCTATGCAGTCTGCCTCAAAGTTGTCAAATTTTCCCAAACTACAATGACAATGAGATAAGCAAAAATTCCACATGACAATACATACAATCAAAAATAAATCCCATGAAGACCTGAAAGGTTATATCGAATTTGCATAATTCTAAGCACAATTAACAAATTCCAAGAAGAAAAATAAGTAAATCTTAAACACTAATTAACAATTTCAAGGTCCTTAATTGGAACCTGAAAATTACAGCCAGCACTGGTACAACAACACAAGTAAACCATCAATTTTAACCCCCTCTTTCCTTTTGTCAAGTGCCTAAAATCTAAAACCATTCTTACAATTTATTAAACTACATACAACAATTTTAAAGTGCATGCGTACAAAACATTCTTTAGAATTGCTGATCAACGACAACTCCAGCAAACATAAAGTATCAAAACATCTTCGGACCGCATGATCAGCCTCTTCAACTGTAGGACGTTTGCATTTTTTGACATCCCTGAAGTGATGATTCAAGTTCCTCAGGTATCGCAGCAGACTAACAACATCATCGTCGTAAGATGAAGGATTATAGTCAAAAACTTCCTTCATAAAAGCTTCTTTAAATCCACCACTTTTCTAAGAAGCAAATACAACAAAATCAACTTTTCCCAAGACGGTCAGCACATTCGATTGAGTACTAGGATCTTTCCTATCATTGTTGACCGTGTCAATCCACTCCAACCTCTCCTTGGGACTCTTCAAAAAAGGATGGCCAAGCAATTTGGAAACAAATTTTTCATACCTACAAACATGAAAACAATTCATCCATCCATCAAAATCCATCATATAGCATAATTAGCAATAAGTCATAACAAAAATTTATGCATTTATCAAAACCAAAAAGCTAACTCACTTCCAAATATGAATATAGTCAAAAAACTTCAAAAACCTATTTAGCTTCGATCCATTCTTTGCTAAGGTCAAAAGCCGTTGCTTTTTTCTTCAACGAGGGAGTTTTGGGTGCTAGCAACGACTCGAACAAATATCCCAACATGATTTTGATGTCATTAAAATCATCCCTTTTCAACTTGTCTTGATCTGATTGATTTTTTCCCTCCAGTGAACCACCAAAGTTAATAAGCTTCAAACACTTCTCACCCATTACATAATTTTCCTTCTTCGTCAAGCTCTCATGAAAGAATCATTTGCCATGAATGCGAGTCACAGCATTAATCAATTGACTACAACATAAACAAAAAAATATAAATTAGATAACATAAACATTACAAAACAAAAACTCTTGACAAAGTTAAAAAAATTACCTTATCGTTTCTATCCAATAAGGATGAAGACAGTCTCTTGCATTCTTAATGAAGAGTTTGCTACTCTCAGTATAGGAAGAATTCGTATCACACACCACTCTTCTAACCCGATCATATAAGGACTTGTCATAGTGATCATAACAGACGGTCCAAACACCCTTCACCAACTCTTCATTACAAGGTAAACTCCTAAAACACTTCTGCTTACAAAACACATAGAACCACGGGCGCAAAATTCCCTCACCAGATATCCTTGAAGAATATTTAAAAGCACATCTAGCAGTCTCCTCCTTATCCACTTTAACAAATTTAACATGTGTGATTTCACCATGTTTCTCATAATACAAACCCCCCTTATATGCCTTGTCTTTACTATTATTCCCCACTACAAAGTTAAATTTATAATAGCATACTCGAGCGCCAACAACCTCTATAGCAGAATCATTATTCTCATGTTCACCTCTGATGTACTCAAAAAACTTTGTTGGATTTCCATCTACAACGAAGTTATAAACAATATATGAAGAAACATAAAAGACTACTGTGTTGATCAAGAACGAGAGACAAATGGAAGCGCTGATGGATCTTGTGGAGATGAGGCCGAGATTGGAGCTTGTTGTTTTCATCGGATGAGGGCCAGACTTCGGCTCTCAGAGATGGCATTAGAGGCGGGAATAGCAATCCAAAGAGAATTCAGACATGGAGTTCGAAGCTCGGGATTTTTCCGACGGTATGTGGATTAATTTGAATCGGAAAGAAGTGGTTTACATCAGCTTCAAGAGGCAATCCAAGGTTATGAGGTGGTAGTGGCGGAGGTTGCGGCCTCCTAGTTGCTGGTGGTATCTTCAACAACCTAGCTGCAGCTTCTGATCAGGATCGGTGGTGAACGAAACTGGAACACTACTGGGCGATTGATTGTTTTTGGAGGCGAGTTGGGTGGGAGGCAAAAAGATAAGATGATCGAGAGGGCTAAGCAGGCTGGATTTGTGAGTATACTGGATTATTTTTATGCTTGAGTAAGTATAAGTTGGATGTAGATTTTGAATGGTGGTTTGAATTCTGACTGTGGATGCCTTTGACAAGTATGTCTCTTGGATGTAGATTTTGAATAGAAGTTTGATTTCTGACCGTGGCTGCCGTTGATAGATATGAATTTTAAATTGTGAATAGTAGCAAATTGAGTTTGAATTCTGGCTGGCTAGTATCAGCAGCTTCTACATAGGGTTACGTATGGTGAATGCTTTGAATTCTGGCTGGCTAGTATCAGCAGCTTCTACATAGTGTTATGTATGGTGAATGCTGAATTTTCATTTTTATTATGTTTTGCTGAATCCTTCTTTGAATGTTGAATGTTGAATCCTTCTTTGAGAGTGGCACCAAATCCTGAATCTTCATTTTCATTATGTTTTGTAAGAAAAACATTTTCCATTACACATTGTTCCATATCATCTGGACCGCGTCGTTAAGAATGCAGGATAACCCCAAGGGGTTGCGGGTTTTTTTCTACCAATTGGGGCCCTTCCTTCACCACCCCCATGGGGATGTTCTAAAGGGTTCATAACTACTCCTCTTACTATAGGACGCTTACCTAGCCAACATTTAGATCCGGCTTTATCCAAACTTAGGCTTAGGGATTTCGTTTTGGTCGAATAGGTTTTTTGCGGATTTTGTGTTTTCACTCACTTTCAACTAGAAGCTGTTAAGAATTAGGCTTAGGGATTTCATTTCTGTTGGATACTCACTTGAACTAGAAGCTCTTCGCATCTTCACCTATGTACTTAACTACGAGGCAAAACACCAAACAAAATTTTCCTTCCTCCAGTTGGGTTTGAATACCATGTGTACATATATAAAGGTGGTAAAGTAATCAGCTACTCAATGTCATAGTCAAACCCTTCATGATCAATTTCACGTTTTCTTTGGCCTCAATGTAAAGCTATAAACATTTTCATTTCTTTCTATAAATTAATAAAATCATTCCACGCAAGTGGCCAACAAAAGCCAGACCCTTTTTCTGTTTGCCCATCATTTGTTATCTTCTTGATTTATCAAACTTGGATAGCTGGACTTGGGCTTCTGGTGGTGTTTAGTCTGTAGCTAGCTAGCTCTATAAGCTGTTTTTCTGCAATGGAGGGAGATGAGTTGTGATCTTGAGAAAGCTGGTCACAGTTTCAAAAGGCGTGGGTCTTTCCTTTTGGACTGACAACGGAGCAGGAGTTTCCTCACCATGGAATCAAACTTCGAATAACTGAAAACATGAAGGAAAAAAAATCATCCATCTTCCAAAATCAATCATATAGCACAATACTAATAAGGTTAGTTATGACAAAATATTCATGCATCCATAAAAAATAAAAAAAAGTAAACTCACTTCCAAATATGAATATAGTAAAAAAAAACTTAAGAAACCTATACTCCTCGATCCATTCTTTCTTAAGGTCAAAATTCATTGTTTTTTTCTTTGACGATAGAGTTTTGGGTGCGAGCAACGACTCGAACAAATGTCCCAACATGCTTTTGATGTCAAGAAAATCGTCATTTTTTGACTTCTCTTGATATGTAACATCTATTCCCTCTAATAAACTACCGAAGTTAATAATCTTCAAACCATTCTCGCCCATCACATAATTTTTTTTTCTTCTAGAAGCTACCGTGAAAGAATTTTTTGTCATGAACGCGAGTCACAACATTAATCAATTGATTGCTATATATACAAACTTAACATACATGATTTCACCATCTTTTTCTTCTACGATGGAGTTTCAGGTGCGAGCAACGACTCGAACAAATGGCTCAACATGCTTTTGATGTCAAGAAAATCATCATTTTTCAACTTATCTTGATATGTAACATCCATCCCCTCCAATAAACCACCGAAGTTAATAATCTTCAAACCCTTCTTGCTCATCATATAATTTTTTTTTCTTCTTCAAGCTGCCGCGAAAGAATCTTTTGTCATGAATGCCAGTCACAACATTCATCAATTGACCACAATATATACAAACTTAACATGAGTGATTTCACCATCTTTTTCTTCGATGATGGAGTTTCGGGTGCAAGCAACAACTTGAACAAATGTCCCAACATGCTTTTGATGTCAAGAAAATCATCATTTTTCTACTTGTCTTGATATGTAACATCAATTCCCTCTCATAAACCATCGAAATTAATGATCTTCAAACTCTTCTCGCCCATTACATAATTTTTCTTCTTCTTCAAGCTACCGTGAAAGAATCCTTCGCCATGAATGCAAATTACAACATTAATCAATTGACTACAATATATACAAAACACTTAATTAGATAACAAAAACATAACAAAACAAAACTCTTGCCAAAGTTCAAAAAATAACCTTATCGTTTCTATCCAATAAGGATGAAGATAGTCTCTTACATTATTAAAAGGTTGTTTGCTACTTTTAGTATAAAAAGAACCCTTATCACCCACCACTCTTCTAACCCAATCATATAAAGACTTGTCATAGTAGTCATAACAAACTGTCCAAATATCATTCACCAACTCTTCATTACAAGGTAAACCCTCAAAAGGCTTCTGTTTACAAAACACATAAAACCACGGGCACAAAATCTCCTCATCAGATATTCTTGAAGAATGTTTAAAAGCACTTCTAGCAGTCTCTTCCTTATCCACCTTCACAAACTTAATATGTTTGATTCACCATATTTCTCGTAATAAAAACCCCTCTTATATGCCTTATCTTTACTATTATTCATCACTACGAAGTTAAGTTTATAAAAGCATACTCAGGCGCCAAAAACTTCAATAACGGAATTATTATTCTCGTGTTCACCTTTGATGTACTCAAAAAAACTCTGTTAACTTTTGTGGAACGTTCGATATTCATAAGAAATGAGATGATTAATTGTCTAATACTTAGAACAAAGATGATTACATATCTACAAAGACACAATCTCTAATGAAAAATCCTTGTTTCCAGAAATTATTCGTGAAGTAGAGTTAGAGGGGAAATTAATCACGTTGTTTACAAACGATGTGTTTTTAATCGGCTGTTGAAAGACGCATTAAAGAATATCAATTGGATGTCAGGGATGCATATAAGATTTTGTGTGAATATGTCAAATGAGGAGTTTAAACATGATATCCTTTGAGATATTTAGTAATATACCCATTCTTAGCACTAAAACTATAAATAAACCCTACATCATTTCATTTTTATAAACATACCCAAAAAAAACCCAAAAAATGACAAATGGTACTATTAAATTTAATTTTAATTATTAAATTACTTTGATATCCTATTGAGTGTTTTGGGCTTTTTTATGAAATTTTGGGTTGGGTTTGTTTTAAGAAATCAATGACAATTTTGTAATTTAAAAGAAGTTAAAAGCCTTTTTGTTATGTTATAAATGGGTTTTGGGTGTGTTTATAAATTCCATTTCATATAGAGTTTTTTTATAATTTGGGCTCCTATATTGGGTATATTAGTGAATCTCCCATATCCTTTTTAGTCTATTGTATGATTATAAGAGGGTGATGGATGACAAACAACTAGAGCTGTTAGTGTTTCTCTTTCCTCATTGGATTTCAACAACATAGATAAATGATAAATGATTTCTTCTTATTAAGAGAAAAGAAACCGAGGAAGTAGAAACACATCTTCTGCTTGCAATTCACTCCAACCTATGCTCTGGACTCTTCAAGAATGAATGGCCAATCAATTTGGAAACAAACTTCGAATAACTGAAAACATGAAGAAAAAAAATTTATCCATATTTCAAAATCAATCATATAGCATAATACTAATAAGGTTAGTTATTACAAAAAATTCATGCATCCATAAAATAAAATAAAAAGCAAACTCACTTCCAAATATGAATGTAGTAAAAAAATTTAAAAAAAACTTAAGAAACCTATAAGCCTCAATCCATTCTTTCCTAAGGTCAAAATTCATTGTTTTTTTCTTTGACGATAGAGTTTTGGGTACGAGCAACGACTCGAACAAATGTCCCAATATACTTTTGATGTCAAGAAAATCATCATTTTTCTACTTGTCTTGATATGTAACATTTATTCCCTCCAATAAATCACCGAAGTTAATAATCTTCAAACCCTTCTTGCCCATCACATAAATTTTTTTCTTTTACAAGCTACTGTTATAGAATTTTTTTTCATGAACGCGAGTCACAACATTAATCAATTTACTACAATATATACAAACTTAACATGCATCATTTCACTATTTTTTTCTTCGACGATGGAGTTTTGGGTGCGAGCAACGACTCGAACAAATGTCCCAACATTCTTTTGATGTCAAGAAAATCATCATTTTTCGACTTGTCTTGATATGTAACATTAATTCCCTCCAATGAACCACCGAAGTTTATAATCTTCAAATCCTTCTGGCTCATTACATAATTTTTTTTCTTCTTAAAGCTACCATGAAAGAATCCTTCAACATGAATGCAAGTTACAACACTAATCAATTGACTACAATATATACAAAACACATAAATTAGATAACATGAACATAACAAAACAAAAACTCTTGACAAAGTTCAAAAAATCACCTTATTGTTTCTATCCCATAAGGATGAAGATTGTCTCTTGCATTCTTAATATGTTGTTTGCTCATCAGATATTCTTTAAGAATGTTTAAAAGCACTTCTAGCTGTCTCTTCCTTATCCACGTTAACAAACTTAACATACATGATTCACCATCTTTCTTGTAATAAAAACCACCCTTGTATGCCTTATCTTTACTATTATTCATCACTACGAAGTTAACTTTATAAAAGCATACTAAGACGCCAAGAACCTCAATAACGGAATTATTATTCTCGTGTTCATCTTTTATGTACTCAAAAAAACTTTGATAACTTTTGTGGAACGTTTGATATTCATAAGAAATGAGATGATTAATTGTCTAATACTTAGAACAAAGATGATTACATATCTACAAATGCACAATCTCTAATGAAAAATCATTGTTTCCAGAACTGATTCGTGAAGTAGAAATGGAGTGGAAGTTAGTCAAACTATTTACAAAAATATATGTTTTCAATAGGCTGTTGAAAGACACATTGAAGAAGATCAATTAGATACTAGGGATGCATATAAGATTTTATGTAAAGATGTCAAATGAGGAGTTTAAACATGATATCTTTTTTAGTCTATTGTATGATTATGAGAGTTGTGATGGTTGACAAACTAGAGTTTTTAGTGTTTCTCTTTCTCCTTTGGATTTCAACAATACAGATAAATGATAAATGGTTTCTTTTTTATTAAGAGAAAAGAAACCGAGGAAGTCGAAACACATCTTCTGCTTGCAATTCGTTCAATACATCCTCCATAATCACATAGTTGTGATTGAGTCTATGATTTCCTATTTGCTCTTATGAGAACATTTGTAAAGAATGTCGGGAATTGCCTTTATTGCCATGTTGAGCTCTACAATGATCGTTTTGAAGAAGTAGTTGGACATCCTTGCAATCATCAATTTCACAAGATCTACATTGAGAAGAGCGACAATGTTCCATGCCCTCTTTGTGAAGACACACACATGAACATCAAGAAGCAGAAGAAGTACAAGACATGAATGAAGATGTACTTGCCAGAAACCAAGGTTGTAGTTTTGTTTTCCACTTTTGAGAAAAAGACGACTTTGTAATTGGTATTTGTGAAAGTGATCTAGTCCCACTACGAATCTAAAGTTACTTTTCTAAAACATTGATAGGAATTTTGAATTCTTCAATATCTCATAATACAAATTTTCTTTTTCTTTATATTATGAAAATTTCGAGGTTCATATAAAATGAGATGATTAATTGTCCAATACTTAGAACAAAGATAATTACATATATACAAATTTTCTTTATCTTAGGAAATTTTTTATGTTCATACAAAACGAGATGACTAATTGTCCAATACTTAGAATAGAGATGATTACATATGTACAATACATAATCTCAGATGAAAAATCCTTATTTAATTCTTGTCTATCTGCATGAACAAATAACAAATCACATATCATCTAGTACCTACAAAAAACCTCCAAAATATCCAAATATGTATTTGATGACAAAAAAGTCGTTCCTTTTCAACTCGTCTGCTTCATATCAACTAGTACCTTCAAAGAACCCCCAAAGTTAATAATCTTCAAACTCTGCTCACCAAGGACGTAATTTTCCCTCATCTTCAAGCCACCGTGATAGAAATCTTTTTTATGAATGTGAGTTCTTTAACATCTCATAATAGGAATTTCTTTATATTGGGAAATTTTCGATATTCATAAGCAAAGAGATGATTAATTATCTAATACTTAGAACAAAGATGATTACATATCAACTAAAGCACAATATCTGATGAAAAATCTTTGTTGCCGGAAGTGATTCATGAAGTGGAGTGGGGGTGTAAGTTAGTCAAGGTGTTTACAAAAAATACGTGTTTTGAATCGACTTTTGAAAGACTCATTAAAGAAGATCAGTTGGATACTATGGATGCGTACAGGATTAGGGAACTACTGTATTGGTTTCGAAGATTTTGTGTGAATATGTCAAAAGTAGAGTTTAAACATGATATCTCTTTTACTTTATTGTATGATGATGAAAGGGTGATGGTTGACAAACAACTAGAGTTGTTAGTGTTTCTCTTTCCTCATTGGATTTTAACAACACAGATAAATGATAAACTTCTTCTGATTAAGAGAGAAGAAACTGAGGAAGTAGAAGTACATCTTCAACTTGCAATTTGTTCAACATGCCCTCCATAATCACGTAGTAGTAATGAGTCTATGATTTCCTACTTGCTCTTAGAAGAACATTTGTAAAGAATGACATGAATCGCATCCACTGTCGTGTTGAGTTCTACAATGATCATTTTGAAGAAGTAGTTGAATATCCTTGTAATCATCGATTTTACAAGATCTGCATTGAGTAAAGCAAGAAGCTTCCCTGCCCTCTTTATCCGACACACGGATTAACATCAAGAAGCACAAAAGGTACAAGAAGATATGAATGAAGATGTACTTGCCGGAAAACATGGATGTGGTTATCTTACCACTTTTAGAAGAAGAAGACGACTTTGTATTTGTGAAAGTAATATAGTCCCTTTACAAACATATTGTTATTTTTGTGAAACATTAATAGGAGTTGTGAGTTCTTAAACATCTCATAATACAAATTTTCATTCGAAAACAAGATGATTAATTGTCCAATAGTTAGAACAAAGATGATTACATATTACTAATGCATAATCTCAGATGAAAATCCTTATTTCATTCTTGTCTATCCACATAAACAAATAACAAATCACATGTCATCTAGTACCTTCAAAGAACCCCAAAAATGTCCTAACATGATAAAAGAATGTGATAAATAAAAATAGTTTTAAAATTTAGGACAAACTACAGTAAACCCCCCAATCTATAGGGTCATTTACGAGTTCATACCTGATTTTGGGGACATTTATGGGTACATACACAACGTCGCGAAAACTTACAAATCGCCCCCTCCGTTAGCGAATCCGTCAGAAAATCTGTTATCTGCCTATGTTACATTTGTGGGACCCTTTTTTTAACTGACGTGGACTTCCACATGGACAAAAAACTAATAAAAAATTATTTTTAAAATAATAAAAAAATTAAATTAATAAAAAGCAAATAAAATAAAATAAAATTACTGTTTAAATTATTTAAATCTCTCTCTCTCTCTCTCTCTCTCTTTCTCTGAGAACTCAAACCCAGAACATTCTCTCTCTCTCTTCCTCATAGCTTTCGTCAACGACCCAAAGGGCGACAGCCGTGATCATGGATCCTCCCAGAATCCTCTTTGATTATTTACTCTGCTTAAAAAAACTTAGTTCCAAAAAAATGGCTCAGTTCCTGAATGGCTTTCTTGAGGATAACTTGCAAAGCACAAGTTCCGACTGAAACAATGAAAGAACCACCTCTTCAGATATTACAGTGATTTTGCTGTGTCTGCCAACCTTATGTTACATTTTGTTTTTGTCCTGTTTATGTTCTATAGAAAGAAAGTGAAAATAATTGACAACGAGCAAACGTTTCTTTTCAACCAAAGTCCCAAATTAAAATTAAAAAATTAAAAATTAAAAGCCCTACCCAGATTCTCTCTCCCGATTTCTTCCCCCTTCCTCCCAATTTCTTCCACCTCTGAAAAATCATCTTCATCTGGTGTAAACTCCTCATCGTCATTATCATCTTCATCATCGTAATTGTTCCCACCATTGATCTCTCTCTCAAGGTCCTCTCGGCCTTCAATGGCCAACCTTTCACTCCCACACCTTCTCTCCCGGACCCTAAACCCAACCTCAACAAACCAATCGAACCAATCGAACCCACTTGCCCTTTAACCCCAGAACCCCAATGCAGTCGCCTCCCTTCCCCTGAACCCAAACCCACAAACCCAATTACCGAAAGTCCGAAGCTTTCTCCGAATCAGGCGAATCCGGAGCCGACCGACCAACCCGAACCCGAGAACTTCAGCCCCATGGACGGCGAAACGCACTTCAACCTCAAGGTCGTATCCCCAAAATTCGAGGGGCAGAGCCTAGTGAAACGACACCGCATGGTGTACGACGCCTTAGCTGACGAGCTCTAGTCTGGTCTCCATGTGCTGTCTATTGTGGCCAAGACTCCCCAAGAGATTGGCCCCAAATAAGCCATTCCAATTTCCACCAGCTATTTCCTTCCTTGTCACTGTTTATGAGGGTTTCTCGTTCTATCTTTTATGAATCGATTTATCAGATGATGTATGCATTTTTACTGAGTCGAACTTTGAAATTGAAATACCAATCTCTTTCAGAAATATGTGTTATAATTTTACAACTATAAATTTGTCATTTGGATTCTGTTGTTGAATGAGTAGCAGGGCATAATGCTTGCTTTTTGAGTTGAGATGGTCAGTCAAAATTCAAAACCCAATCTGATATGAAACAGATGTGGGAGAATTTGGGATGGGAAGATGCAGTTGATGAGGGTGGTTGGGATTGCGACGGAGAGGGGTTGGGAAGGGGTGGGCAAGGTCGTCGTGGTGGTTGGCTGGGTTGGTTTTTTGTTTTTTGTTTTTGTTTTTTGTTTTTTTATAATCAATTTTAAAATAATTTTAATAATTTAAAACTAGTTTTGAAAAATATATAGTTTTTTATTAATTTTTAGTCCACGTGGAAGTCCACCTCATTAAAAAATGGGACCCACATTTGCCACGTAGGCAGATAACAAATTTCCTGACGGATTCGCTAACGGAGGGGGGCGATTTGTAAGTTTTCGCGACGTTGTGTATGTACCCATAAATGTCCCCAAAATAAGATATGAACTCGTAAATGACCCTATAGGTTGGGGGGGTTTACTGTAATTTGTCCTAAAATTTAATTTCTAGTACATGAATATGTAAAACTATACAAATGCGCATATAATATATAAGCATGGCCCTAACTCTACAAATTGGCAAACTAAGCTTTCAAGCTCTTGTAGACATTTTTAGTGAAATTATGCTACATAAATATAGATATATAGATTATATTCTTAAAAATGTCTGATTTGGATAATTCTTCATAGAGATGATTCTGGAATAGATACCCAAAAGAGTTATTTACACTAACACCCATTAAGGTTCTTGGTGTCTACACAAAACCCCTTGAGGTGTCGGAAATTATACTAACACCCCATAAGGTTTCACATTTTCACAAAACTCCTCTGATTGATGTCATTAAATAAATGTCTCCAAATGAAAATGTTGACTTCAGATATTAGATTGCACATTCACTCTAAGGTATAATTGTTGATGTTAATTTTTTTCATTTGAAGAAGTTTTTGTTAATTAAATCATCATTCTTTTTTTACAAAATGAAATTAGAAAGGGTTTTAGGAATACAATTTGAAACCTTAGGGGGTTTTTAGTATAATTTCTGAAACCTCGAGAGTTTTGTACAAAAAATCAAAAACCTTAGGGGATGCTATTATAAATAACTCTACCTAAAACAGTATGCAGTGTCATTGAGTAACAATGCATAATTGGCTAAGAATGTGTTGCTCGGTTTAGTAAAAACGTTGGATCCCTTAGTAGAATGGCCTTGATATTATATAACATTTTAATTGTTTGTTGCATTTAAAAGATGGTGATCAAAGATGATTTTAAATTTTGATTTCTACTACATATATATTGTTGTGCCCCAAAAAGAAAGGAGCTATAATTTGAGTAAAATAAAATCAAAAATAGAAATTTTTTCTCAAATAAAAAAAAAAAAAAAAAAAAAAAAAAAAAAAAAAAAAAAAAAAAAACCTAAAAACACATAAGTATAATAATGCAATGTATGCATGATGAAAACAAACTTCATTCATGGTGATCCTAATTTGTTCTATAAGAAAGTCCATTATTTGTTGACGAAAGCATGTCGCAAAGCTTCTGCAAAACAAGATTTGTATGCCCATTACAGGTTACGGCTTGGGTTGTCGATCTCAAATATGATTTATGATGCAGCTCAATGTACTGGTGATCTTTCTAGCATACATTATAAGACGTGTCTTGATGTAGCAGTAACTAAACTTCCAAATAAAATTCATGGAAGAATTGATACATAGCGGTGCATATTATGGTAGTTGTTATCTCATATTTGAACTTTGCTCCTTTATATTAGGTTAAACTTAATACATTCCACAACGGTTGAGGACAAAGAAGATGATTCAACCATGCAATTAGATTATTTAGAAGTTGTGTTAAAAATTTTATAGGTAGCGTGGTTCATTGTAACTAAATGGTAACTTCCAAATTGCTCTTTTCTATTTGGATTTCCTCATATTGTGAGCATGTCATTTGCTATTGAGATACTTTACCAAGGCCTGAACAATGATGGATCCTATACCAGTTAAACTCATCCTAACTCCTATGAAATACTATGCTTTGTCTGCCCTATTACCAATACCTACAAGATCAGTATGTAATTCACTTTTCTACAAATACTACAATATTCAACATATTGAGTTGGAGATTCTTGGAGTTTGTGTGGTATTTGTGATGATGACACACTTGAATTTTTCTTCACTTCCTCCTTTTGTCACCTTTTTTTTTTTTTTTTTTTTTTTTTTTTTTTTTTTTTTTTATACAATAAAAGGGAGTGTAAGTGAACAAAAGAAAAGTGGAAAAATCAACTCTCTATATTTTTAAGTAAAAAAATATTTACCATGGTCATCGAATAATCGGCTTTTCTAAAGCATTTTATTAAATGGAAAAGATTTAATGATACTCACTTGATGAAATAAGATAGGTTGGTGTGGGATCAAGAAAAGAATGTAATGACACGTAACGAAATCCAAAAGTACACTCTCAGATCCAAATTAGTAGGCCTTTATCATAAGTATGGGCCTTGATAAAATTAAGGAAGGAAATTGTAAGTTTCTGTGGGCCTAAAGACAACAATAAAAATGTGTAAGCGCTTTGGCGGTGGACCGAGCTAAACCAAGTCGAAAAGTTGAAATTTAGGCCAGTTTGGTTATCACTTTTTGCCACTTAAACCGAGTCTAATTTTCTTTTATTTTTTTTCTTTTTTCTTTTTTGTATTGTAAAGAGTCGAAGCCCAACTATACTACTAATGTGCCTTGGAGTATTATTGTATTATTTCGCAGGTAAAAGATGTATGTCTCGTAGTAAGTTGGAGAATTATGAAATTTATCAAACGTATCGTAAAGTTAATATGGTGCCCGATGCTCCTGCAAATTCAAATGTACTCAACCTTGCTTTGATTTCTGGAATATTGGAAATCGAAAATATATATGGGTCTAATTTTGATACATCTTTCCTTTTTATTATAACGCATATATATTATCCAGTTCATGGTATTAGGTAACCTAATAACGATAAAATGATGGAGTAGATATGAGTTTAATCAAGTTGGCTAGAGCAAATGTACTCTTCATTTTGCACCCGATTTCGGATCCCCCTCCTCATAGTTTAGATTATATTAAAATAAAAGTTTAAAAAAAAAAAACGATAATATGATGGAAAGGTGGACCATGCACATGAAGAGAAGCTCACCGAGACAAATTTTAATGCATGTCCGTGAACTTTGATTGCCAGGTTGGGAATATCTATAAAAAGGACACAATAGCGACAAAGGAGCATCCAGTTTTATAGTTGGCCATCGGCTGGCACCAATGTATTGCCATTGATAATAAAATATGAGCATGCATACATACATACGGACACGAATTTAGTAGCTGAGGATGAACACGCATGATATTGTATATCCATCGCTAGACAGCATTGATAGCAATCTTCATCCCAGACTCGCAATGCCCTGGGAAATTGCATATGAAGTAGTTTTGTCCCCTCCCTAGCCTTATTCGGTCCTTTCCAGATTTAAACACCTTTGCACCATTCGGAGTTGTGCAGCTGCTGTAGCCACCCTTGTCCACAGCTACCACATTGTGTAGTGTTGGATCATAGTTGAATACTGCAAATTCAAGTAATTATTTGCGCTGCAAAAATATATAAAATATATGTCTGGACCCAGTTTTTCTAAATAATTCCTCCATACTTGTTCTAAACAATTCCTCAGGCAAAGTATAAAATGTTTGGACCCATTTGGTATGGAATTGAGAAATTGTTCGTCGATTTAAGAAACAAAAGGTAAACTTTAAAAGCAGAATTTATCTTTACTTACTATGATTATGGTTCTTTTTTTCTTTTTGTAAAATAAATATTTAAACTACTAAAAAATCAACTCCTTAATTCTTATAATTTTCAGAAATATCATCTTCAATTCAAAGATCTAAATTTTGCAGAAAAAAAAAATTCATAGAAATTTTTCTTTATATTTGGAATTTGTCCTACTTTTCTAAAATTATATGTTTTCACATGGATCTAAATATTTCTAGTACTAACTAAGAAATGAAAAATAATTAATTAAATAACTAGAAATTATTATTTTTATTCAAGATATACATATGACAGCTGCTTAAGGGCTTTAATAAAGTTTCCATACAACATGCCTATTTGAAATCTAATCAAATGGCAGATATTATGGCTAGACGAAGTGATGCGTCTTCAGCTACTCGTGTTTGGTTTGAAAATTTTCCAATGATTGTTATACATAGCTTACATTTTGATTCATATGGTATTAAGATCTCTCGAGGGTAGGTCAGAAACTTACAAAGCACATCGCCGGCTCTAAATTGCTTTCCATTGGGCCAGCTATCTGTGTTGAAGCTCCAGCCACCAGACTCTCCAACCTTATAAGTGGCTGCGTTGCTGCACCCCAGCTGAACCATTAGGCATAAAACTACCACCACTCCAATGGTTCCTGCACTGCCTCTTCCCTGCTCAGACATCTTACAATTCTCAAACACCAAAGCAGATCAGCTCAGCTTTTTGTTCATGAACCAAAAAAGGCCCCAACCTTGCTTTATATAAGAGGGTTTCAAAAGCTGATTTGTATTTTAGCTGCTTGCTTGAAAATGACTGAACGAAGGCGAAGACAAGGTGATGACTTTTGGGACATGGCAAACATCTCTGCATTATTAATCTGAGGGTCTGAAGAGAAGTGATTGTATATCCAAAAATTAACGTGTTTACTGCATAAGTACTCACGTCACGTGCATTTTATGTAGCTCACCCGTGAACGTTTGCTGGGTCCATATAAACTTTTTCTTCTGCTATTTTATTATTCTTTTATATTTATTTTTTGGTTAGAACTTGGAAGCTGAACTTTCTTTTCTTTTTTTGTGTCAAGACTTTTCTTTTCTTTTCTTTTGCGTATTCAAGTTTTTTTTCAATTACACTTTGAACCTCAGTGGTTTGGGGTTAGAATTTCATAGGTAATTTTTTTTTTCTTTTTATACTATTGAAGAGAGAAGATTTAAAAATTGACAAAAATAACGTTTAAAATTATGATTCTTACAATATATATCAGCTCAATTTTAATTTACATATATGTCACATCGATCACGGACAGACATATGATATACAACAATAAATAAGAACATTTTATAGGAAAATTCTTAACCTTTTACATAAATTAAAGGCATGAAAGAGACCCCCGCGGCATCAATTTGTTGTCAGTGTCGATACAAATACATACTGGCTCATAAAAAAATAGTGGTTACCTTGATAATTTGACGGTCAAAGAGGCCAATTGTATAAAAATTTGAAACATTACTAAGGCTTGTTTTTGCTAAGTAGTAAAAGATAAGGACCTAACTATTAAATACCCTAAAACGATAGGGGTTCGAAATGTACGTGGCTTCAATAAGTTCCATTTAAATACAACCCACAAGAATTCTCCCAAAACCTTTTTTTTTTTTTTTTTTTTTTTTTTTTTTTTTTTTTTTTGTTTGTGGGGTTTTTTGGGTTTTTGTTTTTTTTTTTTTTTTTTAATGTACTGAGTAGAATTTGGTCTTATAAAATCGGCTTATAAGAGGAGTGCTTGAGAGTTCATGTAGTATATGAGGGAGACTTTGGAAAAACACAAAGGAGAGAGAAATTTTGTAAAAGAAGCCAAAATGGACAAAATTGCCCTTATTTATTTTTGGATTTCCTAAGGAATTCTTTACATTTGCATGTCTTTGATTTGAAAGTTGAAAGGTTTTTCTGTCTTTTTTGAAAAAGCTTTGGCTTTTTCCAAAAGTGAAATTTTTTTTTTGACTAAAACCTAAATTTACTTATGAAGAAGAAACCTAAATTTACTTATGAAAATGAGGGATTTGATTTCATAGGTTCCACCACATCATTCTATATGAGGTCATTTAAGGGTCTGTTTGATATCCTACTTAGATCCAATTTTATAAACTAAAAAACATATTTGAAGTTCAAAGCCACAAAAACCCGTTTGGTAAGCCTATTTTTAAAAACTCAAACTCAAGAAAAACACCCATTATTAAAAATAAAAAAAGGAGGTTTTTTTTTTTTTTTTTTTTTTTTTTTTTTTTCTCTCCTCTCTGCTGCTGCGTCTCTTTCTCTCTCCTCCCTCTCTCTTCCTTCTCTCGTCGTCTCCCTCTCCACCCTCTCCCGTCTCTCCCTCTCTCTCCTTCCTCTCCCGTCTCTTTCTCTCCTTCCTCTCTCTCTCTCTCTCTCCTCCCTCTCTCGTCTCTATCTCTTCTCCCTCTCTTTGGAAATTTAGGGTTTCTAATTTTCTGATTTTAATTTCAATTTTTTTAGCACTTAAAAATAGTTTGGAGTTCAATATCAAACAAGTTTTCAGATCTTAAAATCACTATTTGAAAATTCATATTTTTAAAAGGAATCATAATTTTAAATTTATTTTTTTAAATAGGATATCAACCGGGCCTGAATTTCCGAGGCGCACATTATCTGGTTTTCTATTTCTTCTACTATATATACTGTCTAGGAAACAATGCAATTTTATTGACACCAAGTCTGGCCATAAGTACCAATTCGAAAGTACCATTCCAAGTCACAGACACTAATTGTTATTTTTCCGACCAAAAAAAAAGGGAGTTTCACTAAAACACCCAAAATGGAGGTTGAAATTATAAAAAAACCCAACACCCAAAACACTTTATAAACACACCCAAAACCCATCATTACATACACTCAAAACCCATTTATAAACACACCCAAAAAGTTGACTTTGGGGTTGATTTTGGGTGTGTTTCTATGTTTAAATAGTGCTTGGGTTTTTTAATAAATACATGTCTAGGATTGGGTTTATTTATAAATTTGTAAAAAAAAATAGGCCACCAATTGTTATTTTATATGTTTTGGTACAAAAGAAGGCCAGAGGCCCAAATACGAGAAAACTAACCCAATACATTCCTTGGCCGAGTTATACAACAAATATTACAAAAAGCCTAGAATCCGCAGGGAGGAGGAATGGAAATTGTACAGCACATTCTCAACTCAAGGGTGAGGCTTAAATTGGCAAACGAGGGCAGCCCTTATTGCAAGAGACGTATCATGTGAACTAATTTGACATTATTTTATTTGTTTTTATTTGAGCTCTATTTTAGATTTTTTTTCACAATAAATGAGAAACTATCATATCACATGTTACATCAGTTGGTAACTAAAAATTAAAACAACGATACATTTATTAATTTTATAAACACAACATCATTTTGTCGCTAATTTTTCCACTCCTCTAGATCCGATCATTTTTTTGTCAATTTGACATTTTTCCGTATTCATGCTATGTGAACAATTTGTTTTTTTATTTATTTTTTAAACTTTGAGGGGAAGATTCTTCTAGAAAAGATCTAAACTCTTACCAAGTAAATTGCTTTGCTAATTGAGTAAGGCGACCCCACTTAAAAAAAATTATTGTGATTTAGGGTTAAATAGTTGGGAAAAGCAAAAGTTAAGAGTTCTAGAAATTGCTCTATACTTTTGTGTGGTTGATGGTGGATGTCTTTGCTTTGTTACAATTTCATTTGACTGAGTCCCGCGGTTAGAGTTAGAGTGTTGCTCCTCAAGTTTGGAAACAAAGGAAAGACAGGCTTCCCACCTAGCCAATCCCTTAATTGTCCCAAATTAGTTTTGTATTTAAATTAAAAAATTAAGAATCAGAATCCAAGGAATTGCAAGTCATATAAGTCCGTCTTGATGTAATTAACAATCATGACTAATCAGATTAGCACTAAGTAAATCCAATACATTGGCCTAGTCAAATATGGTGGCTTCTTGATTCAATGAATATTACATGAGAAGAAAAAAATGTAGTGGACATATACATATACCAAAGCAGAGCAGACATTCTTGTAAAGGGGTCTATCAATGAAAGGCTTTTGAAAAAAATTAATTAAGTCGTAAAACAAGAAAGACATAGAAGATTAAGGGAATAAATGGTTTTCCATGCAGTAACATCATGCAACTAATTCTGGCTACCTCAGAAGAAGACCTATAAATTATGCCAATTTTCAATGGAGCATAAGTTCAATTATATTGTACGGTTTTAGTTATATATATCTCTAGAGAGGAAATTAAGCAGTGGCAAATTAGCAAATGATTCACTAGTGTAGTGGTTTGAAGTAATTGCTTCTTTAGGAAAAGTCATGGGTTCGAGTCCTAGCATCCGTGTAGTGTGTGTGAATTTAGTATTCAGGAAAAGTCATGGGTTCGAGTCTTGCATCCGTAAAATGTGTGTGAGTTTAGTATTCAGGAAAAGTCATGGGTTCGAGTCTTGCATTTGTGTAGTGTGTGTGAGTTTAGTATATTATTGCCCCTCTCAATAGGAAATGTTATGAAGAAAAAAAATTGTGGCAGATTAAATGGCACATGTGCACAAATTAATCCTGACTATTTCCCACTGAATTCAGAGTAAAACACAAAAAGTAAGTTTCAAGTCTTCTGTGGAAATTCATGCATCACATCACTGGTATGTACAGTTTCAATATTGATGGCAAAGTTTAAAATTTCAAACTTTCTTTTTGATAGCTATATTTTTCAATGGCATTATATGGATTAATTGCTTGGCTGACAGATCTACTTCTTTTTACTTCACATGCAACTTATAGTAAAAAAACAAAACAAAACAAAAGGAAATTAAAAATTGGATCCCAAAGAAGATTTGAAGGCTTTGATTGCACAATTGGACATATGAGAAAAAGGAAAATATAGACATAATAAGTTAAGGACTAGTAGCTGTAAGGGTTTGCAACTTGCCTTAAGAGTGTGCCTAAAATGGGACTTCAAAGAAGGATGACTTTAACAAGTATGAACTTCTTTTCTGGAAAAATATGCAGAGATTTTTCTAAAAGTGATTTTCAATGCTAAAGTGAAAAGATCAAAGAGTAAAAGATGCAGGTGCCTGCAGGTTCCAGTTGAAAACTATGAAAATGTCATTCTGCTGATGAACATCAATGTAACTTGTCCCAAACACTACACATACAGCTAGCAACCAAACCAAATGCTCTGTCAGAAAGAGGCAAAATTCAACAACTACAAGCTGCAGGTGCAGCTTGCATGGAGTATTTCAAGCCTCATGATTCATAGACCAATTGAAATGCTAATCCTTTTTGCTACCTGGCATTGATTGAAATGAGACAAATAATATAAAAATCTCACCAACAACTTTTATTATCCTTGAGGACAAAATATTAAAGATTTGATTCTTAAAGCCTCAAGCCTAGAGAATATATCATTTGGATTCTTGCAACTACATACTAGAGAGTATGTATAGGTCATAATATTTTAAAACTATTACATATATATCCTAAACATCTGCATGCCCTTCTCCCTCTTAAACTACAAGAAAGTTTCAAAATAGATAGAAAGAGAAAGATTAAATTAAATGTGCTTAATTTGGTGCACGATTATTAAGAAGAGATCCCCACACCAAGAAAATCAATGAAGGGAGTTTCCTTGTGATGATCGATCGATTCGTGATCTTGGCAATCATGGTCGCCAAATTTAGCTGTGGCTGCAACCCTCCATTTTGCCAATGTTGATGCATTGTCACAAAAATTAGCCAACTCTTTCTTGAATGTCCTTCCATGTTGCTCAGGACGATTAATGTGATCACCAAGACCCAGGCACCCAAAAGGACTTGGAACATTAACCCTCTTGTAATTTGGAAGCCCAAATGCACTAGTGGAACCTATGTAGCTGCCATACATGAATGAAGAAGTAGTCGGGTTATTTCTTCGGTGAACGAATTGATGATCCGAACCTTTCGAGCACCCGGAAATGTTGTTGTTAGAACTAACATTGTTGAAGTAATCTCTTCTTTCCCTTCCCAATAAACCAACTGAAGATGATGCGGCGTTGTTTGAGGTTGTTGACATTGTAGCAAAGTTCCAATTGTAAGGGGAAGAACTAGCATGCCTGGAGTCCATGAACATTGTTGTCCTATCTTTATTTGGGTTTCGGAATTCGAAGAACTTAGTGCTACTATTCTGATCAAACCCAATTGATGATGAAGATCTCAATTCCCCTTGAGATTTAAATTTCCTGCTTACATCAAAATTGTTGGAAATTGAGGAGGTGTTTGATGAGTGATCATTACAGAAATCTTGGTAGCTTCTCTTCCCACAAACTTTGGACTGCTCTCTTTGTCTTCTTGCCATTATAACGTGCCAATGATTCTTCACAGCATTATCAGTACGGCCTGGAAACAGTCTTGCAATCAGTGCCCACTTGTTTCCATGAATGCGATGTGCTGCTAGCAGCCTCTCTTCTTCTTCCTCACTAAACGGCCTTCGGTTGATTCTCGGATCTAGTTGATTAAACCACCTCAACCTACAACTCTTCCCTACAAAAAAAAATTCAAAAATAAAAACCACAACACAAAAAAAATTAGCAAAATTAGAAAAAAAAGAGGAGGGGAAAAAGCATATATGTCTATCACCTCCCAAATTACATATGTAGGGTTTATGAAGTTGAAAGAAGCTTATGCTGGTCCAAATTAAAGAGAATTTTAGGTTTGAGATTTCATATTAGAAAAAGATCCAAACGTTGTCCCCAACCCAGCACAGTCAAGCACCACAACAACAAACACACAACTCAACACAAGATAGTACACAACATAGTTAGATATATACCTGATCTTCCTTGAAGCTTCTCAGCTATGGAGTTCCAGTTCTGCGCACCGTACTGCTCAACAAGTTGCCGGAGTTTTTCATCCTCGGCCGGCCTCCAATGTCCACGCGGGCAGGTTGTACTCTTTGCTTCATCTCCATAGTCATCCATGGCAACGTTTTACGGAGGCTGCTTTATGTTTGATAAGGTAGCTAGCTACAATATTATATGACAAATATTATTCTTGACATGATCAATTACAGCAGAGGAGGGAAGCTTATGGCGAGCCCACAAAGATATATAGAAGAGAAAATATTGAAGACCAAATGGAATAAGAAAGTGAGGGGTCGGTTTAGGGTTATGGATGGGCAGTCACTTTTGTTGGTTTTACACGACACATTAAGCTAAAGCCCTCTAAATATGTAGATGAAACCTGTAGAGCCAAATGACCCTTTGCTTGTTATGTCATTGGCCAACAATTAAACTTCACCCTCATATTCCCAACTGTTTCTCTCCCTCCCTCTCTCTCTCTCTCTCTCTCACACACACACACACATATTTAAATTTAAATTTAAAATTAATTAATAGAAAATTAAACATACAAAGATGTTTAAGCCATTGAACTACGTTAATCTAGACCTAAACATTTGGGCAGCTTTATAGGTTTAATTAAAGGGACATTTCTCCTAGTGCAGAGAATATGGCTCTGCATCTATTTTAATTTATTTATTATTTTTTCATGTATTTATAAACGAAGTTTGGTGAGCACAACCTTGTTTTGGAAAATATAGAGGTCCATTTCATTGTGTACTAATAGAGTAATTTATTAAAATTTTCTGTTTTTAGCTCATGATGCTTCTCATTGGAAGCAATTTATATGGTAGATGCAATAGGTAAAACCATTTGGGGTTACATATATTAATGTAAAGGGCAGTTGATAAACTTCAAGCTGGCAAACCCTTAATTGGCTAGTGAAGTTTGTTAAAGCAATACATGTGCCATGTAATGCAGCTTATATGTCCTTAAAAGGATATATGTATGTTGTTCAAGTGTATAAAGTCTTGATACCAAGAACGCCATGTAAATAGTAATCATATATACGTTCGTGTCGCGTAATGTATACGTACATATGTAGTTAAAAAATTATTATGTAATTTTGCTTTTTAGGTTAGCAGTACTGCATTCTTAGCAATTCACATTAAGCTATCTGAACTACAAGATTCTGCAAATGAGTGTTTTAAGATCATAATTAAAATGATCTTATGTATCAAACCAGCTTCACTAAAAACCCTGCGTTAATTTTGATCTTCATACACACATATAATAAAACAAAAAGAAAGAAAACAAGAGAGAGATACTATTGGGGCGCAAGGCGTAGGATGCTTCTTATTGGTGTCCGTAGCAGTATTATTAGAGGAACATATTAAGGTACTTAAAAGGTTAATTAGTGTTTTAATTGAGCACTCACCATGACCCTTCTGGGTATTATATATAAAGCATATATATTTATTTGACGACATGCATGGTAGATGCCTTATCAAAGCAACTTCAGTAGTTTTATGACCTTTCTATATATACATATGTATATATTTTTATTTTTTATGGTGAATTATTTATCATGGCAAATGAAAAGAGAGGGTCTTTTAGGTCGAGGCTAATAATGCCGTGCAAGTACAACATCAAGAAAAGTATGGGTAAACCGTCTGCCTTTTTCCATACTCTGTTCCACTCAGACGACAAGTCAAATGAGAACATTGAAACATTTTGTGAAAAATAAATAAATTAATTAATTAATTAAAGACATATGTTATTATATAGTGTTGCTTAACTGATTGAGATTTCATATCCCACGAAATCAAAACACTTTTCTTAGCATCTAAAATATGCTTCAACTAGTTTATACATTAACATCAACATTAACCAATCACACAATGCACCAAATTAATGTCCTAGCTATAGTCGGTATATGAATCCAAATTGGTGTGGATGTCCCAATCCAATAGGTCCATCTGATCATGTAAGTTATGTCTTAATACTAAACTTACACATACGACACAGATGTTGAGACTCAAACCTATAACCTTTCTTCGGGTAGCAACTGCTCCAAAACACTACTAATATGTCTTTTACTTTGTTTGAATTTCTTCATTATGTTTTTAACGAAAAACAATTTTTTTATTTATTTAAAAATTCAGACGGAGGAAGGTCAAAATCTGGACCGTAAATAAGATAAAGTGCACCATCACTGAAATTTTAAGCCTCCATTAACGACAAAATGTGGTTAATAATGAAAGGAAAATAGACGAAAGGTTGATAGAGGGCGTCTAAAGCAGCAATATAAGTAGGGTTTTTTGTTTTTTTCTTAGGCAAGCGTAGGAGGCCCATGTAGGATTGAAGAAACCAACCACCATGAGGAAGTTTGGTGATTGATTGGCTCCATGTTTCCAGCTATCCCTTAGGGCTAATGTAAAACCAGTTTAACAATTAATTAGCTACATGTGTACATATGATCTCTCTAGCCTAATTGGAAACTGTTGTAGATTCTTTCTAGAGGTTTGAATTTTTTTAATTTTATCTCACTTAAAACTTAAGAATTATTTTATAATAAAAAAATAATTAAGAATGACAATGTTGAATATTTTCCCAAAATTAAGCATGCGGTCAAAAGATATATGCATGGGAGGAAATCCTTGAACGAAAGCCCTAAAGATAGAAGAAGCCTAGTCCTTGCTCTTCTAATACCACTAGAAAACCTCAAAAAGAATCATGAATGATTTGAGGACAGTAATGTATCCGTGGCCAAAATGAATTGGTCACGGATAAGCCACAAATTACGTCATTGTGTTGTTCACATAGTGTTGCCATTAAGTTCGGATACTATAGGATCATTTTATTTTATTTTATTTTTGGTTACAACCTATGGATATATTTGACTAATTTTCCAGTAATTTGACAATACCATCTTCCCCGGACGGGCTTCATCTTCTGTAATTATAATTAGACAGTAATTTGTGTGAACCCAAAAAGTCATAAAAATTGTTATCCATGATGGGTACACAATTATTCTGTCCACTAAACAATATAATGGTAGCTACGTCATAGTAAATAATGAAATAAATATATGATCAATTAGAGAAGTCGCAAAACTAATATGTCGACAAAAGGGTCATTATAAATCAAATCAATACAGGTATGATTTTGATGAGGTATTCTTCATCGAAGCTGCTTCTCAACTCAAGCTTCGTCCGTCCCAACTGTTGTGAAAGGTCATGTTATGCTGTTCTTGAGGTGCATATACCAACTTCCCAATCTGTCTACTCTCATATAAAAATAGACCGTTAAAGAATAGCACACCTCTCTCTCTCTCTCTCTCTCATGAACACTCTGTGTGTATGAAAGAAGCTGCATATATAGAAGGGTTTGAAAGAGCTTTCAAACAGTAAATGCAAAGCATTTCAGTTACTTGCACAGCCAAACAATCCATTTCCCTCAAATGTCTTTATATGAAAACAATTATATACCTTTTTCTCTCACCTTCCCAATAGAAACCCATACAAGCAACCCAAAATCTTATGATCTTCCCAACCATACACACACCCTATTGTAAACATCAACAGAGCCCGTGAAAAATTTTCAACAAACCACTTTGACTACCCCTATCCAACTCTCTCTTACACATATGCATGATCAATGCACCCACTGTTCCACATCATACAAAACCTACTTTTTGCCTTGTGTGAACTCTACCTTTCTAATACTTACCCTTTTTGTTGTCCACATTGAATGAATTTTGTTGCATGGTAGCTCATGATGTGAATGCATGTTGGCTTCATTAAATTCCCATAACATGCCTTCATAAACAATATTAATTTGGACAACTAATTGGAAGGAATTGTCACATGATAAACATGGTTAAAAGCAAAATCATGCTTATGAATAATGTCAGAATCACCAGATTTATTCATCAAATGCATTCTCTATATATGGTGTGTTAGGTCGTAAATGTGTCAATACCTTACTTGTTATGCTAATAAACTAAGTTTGAAGTGGACCCAGATTTAAATCAATAAAAACCGTCACATTATTTTACGAATCAATTTATGGTTCCTCCGAGTCACCCTCCATCTCTCTTTTTTCATTGCTCGAGTGAAATTCAATGTTTTCTGTTTTGGTTTTCTAAACCAATTCAACCAAGTAACCGTTGAAGCATATGTGTTGTTCATTAATTAGCAAATGTCACCTTCTTACGAAGTTGGTTTCAAATGGTAGAGAAACAATGAATCAAGAGGGACGTGGAGATGCCATTATGTATTAATTATGTTATATATATGAACATTCTTAAACGGCAACGAATTCTGAGAGACAACCAACTAAGAGGGTTCTTGGACTATAGTGTGACGTGTTATCCAATACAACAATGAAGTAACCCATAAGGATTTATTTCTTATAGCTTGTTATTTCTTTCATGCATGTCTTGTACAATAACAATAACCCAACGCCTAATAAACGGCAATAAAATACTGCGTTTTATAGAGAGTCAAGTACAGTTAGTTGGGTTTTCAGTGGTGATTAAGTCTAATCCCAACAAACCACATTGATGGCGATATCTCTTATTAAACACCAATATAAAATTAGTGGCTTGAGACAATTAAGACAAGGACAGTTTAGCTACCTTAATTGGTGGTTACCTCTATCTTATCTGGGGCTGTTCAAGAATTAACATTCTCTAAACTTTGTCCAATGTGTCTAATCTCAAAACTCTTAATCATACAGCACAAACTCATCACAAAATTAGACAGACCACCACGGTTTTTAATTTTAAAAAAATCAATTACGATGATAATTTCATGTTTATACCTACCAAAACTGAACCCATCTCTAGCTAACTCTGCATATTGCCAGCTGTTGATTAATTATGATATATGTAATATGTGGGATGTGATCAACAAACATGCATAATCAATCCAATCAAATTAGGTATATGTTGATTAATTCTACTATTGCGCAGCCTTTCAGTTGAGCAAATCTCCTATGTATTCCATTAGAGTATTTAAATTTAAGATTAACCCCCCTAAGTAAATTGATTTTGGAGTGTAACATCAACTTCTTTTATGATATCATATCAGGTTTGCCACGTGTGCAAGTCTAACGCCCACACGTGCTCCACGTCA